TTCCCAATCTGCTGAGCAGCGGAAAGTTGCCACGGTACAATTCCCGGGACTCTGTCTGGTTCTTCTTGCAAAGTATCCAAGACTTTGTTGAAATGGCCCCCAACGGCATTGATATCTTGCAAGAGAAGGTTCCAAGGCGATTCTTGCCTTATGACGACACTTGGTTCCCCTTCGATGATCCCCGGGCGTACTCTCAGTCTTCGACTCTACTCGAATGTGTCCAGGAAGTGTTCCAAAGACATGCTTCTGGAATGTCTTTCAGAGAATACAACGCTGGCCCCGATCTTGATAGTCAGATGAAGCCCGAAGGCTTCCAGATCGACGTCAAGGTCGACTGGGAAACGGGTTTGATCTTTGGTGGCAACCAGGATAACTGTGGCACCTGGCAAGACAAAATGGGAGAAAGCACTAAGGCCGGAAATAAGGGCTTCCCTGGAACGCCCCGCGATGGTGCTGCTATCGAAATTACCGGTCTCGCCTACAGCGCTCTGGCATGGGTGGCACGTCTCCACGAATCCAAGGTGTATCCCCATGAGGGCGTGGATATTGGCGATAGTAAAAAGATTACTTTTGCTGAATGGGCTCGCAAGATCAAAGACAACTTCGAGCGGTGCTACTTTGTTCCTCTCGATCCCAACGAAGATGGTCAGTACGACGTGGACGCGAAAATCGTCAACCGCCGAGGAATCTACAAGGATTTGTACAAGTCTGGTAAACCCTACGAAGATTACCAACTCCGTTCCAACTTCCCCATCGCAATGACAGTCGCCCCGGAGCTATTCACGCCTGCAAAGGCTCTCGTCGCTCTATCGATTGCCGACTCCGCAATCGTGGGCCCTGTGGGCATGGCGACACTGGACCCATCTGATCTCAACTACCGTCCGTACTACATCAACTCCGATGACTCTGATGACTTTGCGACTGCCAAGGGTCGCAACTACCATCAGGGTCCGGAGTGGGTCTGGCAACGCGGTTATTTCCTCCGTGCTCTATTGCATTTCGATCTTCTGCGCCGGAAGACGTCTGAGGAACGGACTGAATCTTTCCAGCAAGTTACCCGACGACTTGATGGTTGCAAGAAAGCATTGCGGGAGAGTCCTTGGAAGGGGTTAACGGAATTGTCGAACAAAGCTGGAGAGCATTGTAATGATTCGGTGAGTTACTTTCGTTCTGATATATTTTTGTACAGGATGCTAACAGCAAGTACAGTCACCCACCCAATCTTGGTCCGCTGGATGTCTCCTTGACCTCTACTATGACGCATCGAAGCACTCTTAGATTTGCTTTTTTTCGTTTTTGGATACACGATTGATTGGATATTTTTTGGACACATCACATATTAGATATCATCATGCATTGAGAGATTTTTCAGCGTTTTAACTGGGTTTGTAGTTACACCGCGTCAAATTTATTGCAATTTAAACTACATGGTCTACAGAAATGATTTCAAAGTGGATTTAATGTAGATGTCAATGTGCAATGCTGTCGCTGAAAATGTGTGCCCAAGAGATGACGATGGATGAGATGAAAACGAACAAATTGCCCATTTATTTGATATACATATTCCGCATTTCCTTTTCATGTCCTGATACGTAGCTTTCTTCTTTTCTTTTCTTTTCTTTTTTTTTTTCCTGCGACGGCGCCTCGGTATGTGGGATCCTTGATCGATGCTCTCATCTCCATTTTCTGAAAAGCAGCAGCACCTTGATAGTTTCCAATGAAACAGTGGTACCAGAACAATTACCCCTTCCTAAATTAATCATTGGAGTAACAGGCTTTTGGAGGTGGAGCTGAATAGTTTTCTATCTCATCTCTTCGGCTTTTCGCCTTTAGTTACATTATATAGAAATTCATTAAACTATGGGTAAAGAACCTCTTCTTCTCTAAGAAAGAAGAAATCGCCGAAGAGAGTGCTATATTTTCGACACTTATATACAAGATGATTCTATCCGAGAGAAGCCTAGGAAGATGAAAGGCGCCTAAGACTAAGAAGATATAGTACGGATGCTGTTACTGTTTTAATTCTTAGACTTGCGAGGTATTTCAAAAGTTGCTGCATAGTTCGAATTCGGGTACAATACTATGTATATTATAGCAGTACTGCGCAAATCGTTATAGCAGATCTCACCGACCTCTTTGAACTCCCTAGTCAGCCGTACACAGGGGTCCGTAGGTTGCACCACCCTTCACTTCTTCCCATCCCTCATTTCCAACACATCGCCAGCACCAAAACACGCCTTCAGGGTCATACTTGTGCTTCACAGACTTGAGCCAATTGTAGTTCTCTCCAAACCAATTATCCTTCCATTGGGGATCAAATCCATCAGCTTCATTCAGATACGTTCCCATGCCGGGGGTAAGATCCTCCATTGCCTTTAGCTTTTTGTAGGTAGCCTTGTCCTTGACTTCCTGGACTCCTTGCGAGCCTGCATTGAGAGGATAGAGATCGACATGCGTCAAGAGAGCATAGGTCTTACGCCATGCTGGGTTGACGGATGTGAATGGTTCCTGGTGAAGGACTCGTCCACCACCATCGAGAGACAGCGATAGTCCAGATCCAGAGGGACGGGCCCCTGGGCCTGTCTCGATAAAAAGAGTGGAAAGCATATTAGATAAGCTTTCCTGCTGGGAGACAAGTGACTTCTTGTCGAAGAATCGAGAGATCATAAGGAGGTTATCTCCAGCCTGGGCTACGTGACTTTTAGAGCCGAAGTATCCTTGGAACGTCGGGTAATGGCTGAAGGAGGAGGAGACGTAAAGGGCTGTTTCGTTGTACGGAAGCAGATCATTCACGAGGTGCTTGTTCACAAACTCCTTAGTGCTCTCAATGGTGCTGGAAGAGTTGTTGTCGAGGAGCATGATGAAGGTGTGTGCGTAGAGTGTTTTCCCTTTCATATTGAGCAACTCCCCGATACCTCCGAATCCATGGTCCGAAAGAATAGAATATTTCGATAAAACGTTGCCTGTGGCATTCACGAGATCGCTCAAGTTGCCCTTCGTTGGAGTCATGAGTAAAGTATGCGCGAGCACTGGACGCGTAGGATGTGCTTTGATTGTAGCAGATACGACAACACCGTAAGTACCACCACCTCCTCCACGCAGGGCAGTGAATAAGTCGGGGTATTGGCATGGGCTTGTTTTTACAACCTTTCCTGATGCCAAGACGACTACGTATTCGAGGACCTGATCGGTCGCCAATCCAAAGGCGTGGCTAGTCGGGCCATGACCGGCGCCCTGGATATATCCTCCAATAACCCCAACAGTCTGTGTTATCGTTAGCCTGTTTTCTGGCCATGGCCTTGAAATGAATGCTTCCTTACGCTATCATCACCTCCAACAGCGATAGAGTTGTGCTTGGCTGCAAAGTCATATACGTCTCCCCAAATATATCCACCACCGACAGTGATGGCACCTCCAGTCCAATTTGCTGGACAAGAATGGTTTGACGGAGTATAACGGGCTTGGTAAGATAGCCCGTCCTGGATGTATTTGATCCAAATCATCAGACTGCCATATCCTTGAGATCTGCCCAAGAGAACGTTAGCACATGAGGCAAACTCCAAATCGACAGGAACCAAATTTTCGTACCTTTGGACGATATCGTGGCCGGTGTTTTTAATCACCAGCCGCAAATTATTCTCTTTGGCGAATTTGATGCCAGCTGAGACATCACTTGTTTTGGTTGCATTGATCGTGTATACTGGAACGGCACCCAGTTGGCAGAGAGGGTAAGCGGCGATCGAGGCATTGATCGGAGGACAGGTCACAGCAACTGGATAGGTATAGCCGACTGGTTGGGCCTCTTGGAACTTTGAACTCGTCCATTCCTGGCTGATATCTTGACATAGCTCTGCATCCTGGCCCGGGCCGGGATAACATGGTTGAGCAATGGGCTGATTGGCTATAAGTTGACCATCAACGGATGCATTAAGGGCATTCCATTTGGAAAAAGAAGGCCAACATTCGTCAGTTGGGGTCTATTCAAATCTTGTCAGTTTCCAAGGTGTTATAACTCAAGTTGTAGAAGACATACACATTTACAAGCAGCAAAAGCGGACTGGGCTCCAGCAAGGAGCAAAAGACCTTTGAAGAACATGATTGATGAGCGTGTTGGATCATCAACTACAGTATGGAATCAATGACTTTATATATATTTTTATTTTCCATGCTTTACGGTTTAGTTACTACCTGAGCTGATCGTCAGTAGGATGCGCAATTATTTTTCCGCTCTGCCAACGATAGTTAAGGCCGCGAGCTTAGCCCCGTTAGTGAGGCAAAACAGAAGGTGGAGTTTCCATGTCTATTTTTTTTTTGGTTTTTTTTTCATATATTTTCATATCTTGATGCGGTTTGGGCTGACTTGATTCTTACGCATGAGGTCATAAAAAGCTGAATGCCCGGGGCTGTAGTAGTGCGCAACGAGCGCGCAACGAGCGCGCACCAGAAATATAAGCCGCTTTATGGGGGCCAACTTGATCATTCCAAATCACGGCTTCCTCGGCATTGGATTTCCTTAGATTAGTTCAGCGTAAATTCCTGCATTCTGTGGTGAGGCAAGTTCAAGACAACGAGAATACTAAATATGGAGAAGGACGAAGAAAGAAATGAGAAGTCCCGAGAGATTAAATAGCAGGCCTAGCACCAATCAAAAGATCACACTATACAACATAGCAAATGGATCAAGGAAAACAGTATATACGCAATGTCACACATCCCTTGTAGTCCTCTTTGTATGAATTGCTTTTAAAGTAAACATAGTGCAAGCAAGGCTCTCCTTTGGCATCACTCTTCCGTTCTACGCTGGCTAATTTATTACAATGACTTGAAGGCAGTCTTGTTGGTAAAATCTGTTGTATTATCTCAAGCAAGTTGTAGGTATATCAGTGTCGACTCAAAACCTACTGTAGCTAGAGCTAAATCCCATCACATTTGACATCTGAGGCAGAATCTTGTTGAAGAGTATTGTTAGGCTCTTCATTTGGAACAGTGGTTTTGCTCTGCTACACCATGCTTTCAAATTGAGCCTTTGATTTTTCAGCCTCTTCTTCGGTAGGCAGGTTGACAACCGCAAGGTATAAGACGTTCTTCAAGAAAACTTTCTTGAGGTGATTTCTTCCTGTGCTAGGAACTAGTCGGCCGTCTTGCGAATCCGCTGGTTTGCCAAAAAGACGATTGATCCCTAACGCTTCATTCCTCTTAGCAAGTAACTTGCCAGGACCCGGTAGAGGAACAAGACCGCCGGTGACGAGAGAAATTATCGATCCGCTGTTCACAGGATGATCTGGATCGTTAAAGCGTGACTTCATTGGTTTCCGCTGCTCAGAAGGCACTACCATTGGCGACCCAGGGTGTTTTGCTTCCTTTTTTTATCTCGTTAGCATGGTATAACAAGACTGAGGATAATAACCCACATAAAACACCATCGCTCTTCTGTCCATGTAGTCATTGACCCACTCTCCGGCGCCTTTGAACTTTTCGAGAATTCCTTGTGATTGCTCTTCCGTGTATCCACCTGCAATAATCCGATCCAACTGGGGGTAGATTAGGCTTGCAGTTTCCGGCAATTCGAGCTCAGAACTTGTCTCGCCGCTCTCCACTCGGATATTGTCCAGTTTCTTTCCGAAGTTCGACCTGTTTACATCAGGGTTGCTCCATTTCACGGCTGCCTTATTCAGGTCTACTTTTTCCTTTTTAAAGATGCTTTTCTTGAGCGAGCTGGTGGCTTTAGCCAGTGGGCCCTGTTGTGCAGGATCATCATGTTTGAATGCGATAACCATAACAAATAGCCCACGAGGCATGAACAAATCACGGTTGACCATCTCAAGAAAGGTATTTGCACGAGTTCGCTTTTGTAATTCGCGAGCAGTGCCGGCAATCACAGAGAGGACCATGCCTACAGCCATAGCGGCCGGGAATGGGAGAGATGATGTGATTTGAGCGGCGATGAAAACCACTTCAATCCAAGCAGAGGCCTATATAAAGTGTGAGTGCTTGGAATCTCAGGGAAATGGTAGCTTGTACGAACATGATTAACGACATCTAGGTATTCCAAGAATTGTAAAAAGACTTCTTGGTCGATGCCGCAGTCCTGGAGAATGGGTGCATATGCACGTACGAATCCGCGGTCCTTGTTTCTAGGACGGCGCTGAGGAATAATGACAGGACATGGAAGTCGTTGTAGATACTCGGGAGGGGGCCCCGCCATATCAACTAGCTCACGAGCCAATGCTTCCCTCTGCTTGAGCTTTCTTTCCTCTTCGTCCTCCGTCTCATCATACGAGTCGGTCAGAGTATCGTCGTATGGAAGTGCATACAAGTCTTCGCCGGAATTTGGCTGTCTCAGCCGCTCGATCATATCATCAAGCTGCCACGACAACTCGTCCTGGTTGTGATAAGCCACATGATCTGACCAAGAGTCCGATCCGACGTCAGCAGTGACTGTCTGCCCCCGAGGGACAGTGTCATCCTCTGGGTAGTATGATGAGCACAGTGAAAAAGTTCTGTCCGTGGAAACTGGCTTGGCAGAGTTGGGGTTCTCGAAGTTTTCTAGCGAGGATTCGCTAGGAGGAATGGCTTTAGGTTGATCCCTCGACGAGGGTCGATCTCGAACTGCATGGATTGCTTCTGACGCAAAGCCAAGACCCATTCGAAGGGCTTTGACAAGAAACACCATGTTGACTTGCCCCTCTGGTAGATGTGGTAGGATGGAAAGGGCAGGATGGAAAGAGTAAGATGGAAAGAGAGCCGAAATTCTCTTGACATCAGGATCTCCAATTTATCTACTTGTCACGGTCCCCCTTTGGTTTTTGATTCGTCGCTTACAAAAATTTATTAAATTTAGAATACCTCCAAATAAGCAATTCTTTGCCGCGTCTAAGCACAGAGGGGTGGGATAGATCTGCGGTTTGCAGGTACAACATAGGGCTAGGACTACTACGTTATCGTTGCCAAACCAACATACTCCGCACCATATGCCCATACGCATATGGTTAATCAAGCCAACTATTAGGAGTAAAATCTATTGGTAATCTGCGCGTATTATCACATGGGAATAGGAGAGTATGTCGAGTGAGATTTTGGTTGTGGCATTTTCGCCTTAGAAAAGTTGCGCTCGTCGCGCATTTTCTTGTCGCGGGATCGACGACACGCCCCCACGGGAAACATTTGTCAGTTGCGCGCTCGTTGCGCACTCCTTCTCTGCCGGGGAAAGTCAGAATGGACCTACTGCTAGTCCAGTGTTCGTAATCCAGTGGAGACCAGCTTGCTTTACTCAATTTATTCCCAAAAATGTTTGATTCGGTGCCCATGATCCCCTTGTCACAATCATGTCACAGCAGGAATTTGAAGTCTATACGTTACATGGAAGCAGAAATTGAATGATTATGCACATATTATCTTATAGAAATGGGATACTCCCAGGATCAACATTGGTGTTCTGGCCTTCGATCCAGTTATAAAGCTCCAGTGGGTTGGGAAGCGGGTCGAATCCTCCAAGATAAGGCCACATATTCCATGCTTCAGTTGACGTAGTCAAGTCAAAGAAAGTGCCTTCACTCATGTCTGAGTACATGGGCGAAAATTCCATCCCTGCCTCTCCTGCCTCTCCTGCCTGTCTCTCCTCTCCGTGATGACTCTCCTGCCTCTCAATTCGCCTCGAAAGGTTTTCTTTCGCCGTTCTCATCACCTGACAAAAGCCCGATATTATTTTACTGCCCACGGCATAGACGCAGCCATTAGCAAAGGCCACATCGGTTGATGTCCACGGCGCGGCAATCATAGAATCAAATCGCTGTGCGCATATGGTAAACAGCTCGAGCTGTTTCTCAAATTCGGGGTTCAATCGTCCAAAACACTTCAACTGCACAAGATTGTTTTCAACAACATTTTTGCAATGTGTGAGAACCTCCAGAGCAAGATGTTGAAGTGGAGGGCGAAAGCTTGTGTCTGCAAGCCTCAAATCTGTGCACCTAATGAAGATCTCCAAAAGACTTGTTAGTCTTTCAGGAAACTTGATTCCAAGCTGACTCAATGCCATAGCAAATGGTTCTGCTGTGCCTGCGATCATATTTTCTCTGCTTCCTCCGACTTGATCACTGATTTGAATTGCTTCATGGCTCTCAATCTCGTGGTCCCATTTCAGTCCGCCTTCCAAAGACCTTACTTTAAGGACTGAAGCATATAAAAGCCCGAGGCCCCATATCCTAGCAATAATAGAGTTGAACCTCAACTCTAAGATGGAGCGAGCAGCCTCTATCTCTTGCGAATCAAACATGCCTGATGATTTTTCCAATAAAACACAACTTGTTTTCAGTTGCTCAACGCATCTCCTCTCAGCCTCTCCAATTTCCCCAAACAGCGACCCGGGGTTGTTCCATCTTTCTTTTAAATTTGCCACAGCGTTCAATAGAATGCAGACTGACATGGCCCAATTTATGTGGAAGATAGTTCTGGGTGAGCACTGCCGATATTTCAAAACAACCTGGTACACATCGACAACAGGCGTCATCTTCGCAAGAGCTTTTCGTAAAGCATAATGTGATTTTGCAAGGTAGCCATCCAGCAATGTGTCATAATGCAAAAGCTGCAAGCGCTCTACCGTTCGACTAAAGCCAAAATCAAACTGGGCGCCATCCACAATATACAACTCAGATGGAAGCGTACCTCCTTGTTCCGAATTTTCTTCAAGTCGTTCTGCCATCCTTTGAGCTAGATGAACAAACATTTCGGACTTAATGGCACGATGTAAGACCCTTTGTGTCGTAGCTAAAGCTGTGGGTTTGTAGTCTGCTAAAAATAGGCAAACCACGACCGTGTCATGGTGCGTTGGTGGCGAAAATATAAATTCTTGGCCGATGAATGCCACGGCAAGGCGTAGACTCGATCTCAAAGAGGGGTGGCTTTTGGCTAAGGCCTCGTCAATGTCTAGAGCAGTCAAGCAGAGCAGCGCGAAGAGCAGCTTGGTTGCTGAATTGATCGACGTGAAGTCATTCGAGAGTAGGCGGCTTCTAAGTTCTACCAATCTTGGCATTGAAGGATGAAAAAAGCGATGCCAAGTCAAACTATCCTAGCTAATTAGGCAAGGGGGAGAGATGTCGGATCATGTGGACTCACCTCTTCTCAAGCGACTCTGCAGTGTCATTGTCAATGAGCTCTGTAAGAGATGCGTCCCAACATGAAGGGGGTTGAGCTATATCACTCCCAAATGCTTGATCTTTGGACAAGATTGATGAAAGAAAGAAATGGGGCTCTATCATCGATTTGAAACGCTCTTCTTTAGTCGGACGCGGAGCTAATTTCGTTCGCAACTCCTTCTGCCAATCGGGACCAATCTCCGCTGTACCGGAGAATAGATGATCTTGTATATCCTCGCTGGAAAGCGTAGAAGTGATAGGCCCATTAATTACGGTATCATTCTCTTGAGCCACCATGCCACGAAGGCGCTTCGCTGCGGGGCGTCCTAAAAAGGTACGCTCAACAATGCATTCTAGGTTCAGATTGCGACATCGTTCACAAGCCTTGTCTTGGGGTTGCGGAACACCCAAGGGACCGAGATCATCCCGGTTCTGCATGATGCATTTAATCTTTCTTGAGCGACAGCCGCGACATATTGTGCGGGCATATCTCCCCCTTGGACCTCTCTCGGCTTTTTGATTTTGCATTTCTTAATAAAAGAAAGAGAAGATCCAGTAGTAGTAGGTGGAGTATTTAGTGCACAACTCTCAAGCAACCAGGTTGGTGGTCATAGATACTCGATAACACGGCGTACAACATATATGGATTGGTAGTGTCAAGCTCAGCTCGGTCTTGGCACCACTGCCACCTGGTGTACGACTAGACCCTGTTTGGAAAGCAGATTGACGCCTTACTTGATTAGGATGTAATTCATTTCAAAACCTTGATTTGTGCTAAGATCACCCTCTGCATATTGTACGTGGCATCTATAGAAAGAATTTGCGCGCGACGATCTTTGATTTCCGCAATAATTTGCGCGATGAAATTCGCTGGTTTATGCTATTATTGTAATAGTCATATTAAACCGTGCTTATTAGTGATGGGAGAGCGAGGGCTTACCTCTATGTGTTTTTAGAGCAACTCCAAACTCTCCTTTCCAGGTGTGACACTCTACCCTGGGGCGTTCTGGGTTTCCGAAGTAGTAGTATTGTACCGTATAAATCTCATCTAGATAAGTATCAGTATGGTCTAAGTTTATGAAAGGTTCAGATGCCTCATAGCCCTTGGTCTATGGCGGTGCCTGGAAATTCATAATAAGAGAATGGGCATCACTGATCAAGCTCGCTTGCGTGGAGGTTAGTCTAGCTCAATCGGCAGAAGCACCATACCGGATTTACTATTTGTATCTAGGTCAATGATGAAACGAGCATATGCAATCAAAGTGAGTTTTAGTACGTGTAATTAGACCGGCAAATAAAGCTTGGATCTGTTTTCTCTCAGGTTTCAGTGGATTCTACATATACTACCTGCAAATTCTCGCGCTCCGCCTGGTACAATAGTGAGAGTCACTTACATCTTCCCATTTAGGTGTTGACTATATATAATAAATTCAGTGCTCTGGATATTACAGGAAACGGTCTTGGACCTTATCGTCCAATGGGAAATATTGGATATCGATCAGGTTGTCGGTTTCCTTGCGGCATTAGAAAATCTGTATAATATTTGGTCTCTTGCTCTGGTTGGGGGCCTAAGAAAATATAGATCTGACATGCTAACGGTTGCTTGAACTTATGACCCAGCTTTCTGGGACCTTGAGGAGAAATGCTTGGAACTTAGATATTTTCCTTCGAGGGATTCGGATTCCATATATATACTTTGACACTTAGCATTATTAGTCACAGTTCTCGCAAAAGGGCACTAACACTTAAGCTCCTAGGATTGATATCATTAACATTGCGATGGCACGAAAGGTCTGGGCTCCTAGGAAGTCCTCTCGGACTTCAGTTAGAATGAGATATTTTCGGATGAATGGGGTTATGCGCATAAATGATGAGTCATCTACATGTAGCACCGGAGCCCAGGAAAGCCGTCATTGATGGTTTGATGGAAAGCCAAAAAAAAACAAAGGGGGAAACTCACCGATTGTTCACAATCTCCTCTCGAACACCAAACCAAAGAACTTGAAAAATAATCGCGACACAACAATCGAATCGTCTCCAACGGTTGACCATCCCATCTCCCTGACGTCAGTCATTTCGGTGATCAACGGAGTCCTGCCGCATGCCCTTGAGGAACCACTAGCTCCGACAGCCCCTCGCTCGTCGAAGCCACCGAAATACAGAGTGCGGAGACCACATATAAGATAGAGTTATGTCTCTAACGGCATCAGCGACCTCCGCTGTGTTGACCTTGCTTGCCGACAACCCCGATGGAGGAAGCAGGAGGCGGTGGGAAGATCAGTTGAGAGAGCAGCGCGATCTGTACACGCAGTTTGTGATTAGCTCTGCCCTGGGTCTCAGCGCCTTTTTAACATTTTGTGTACGTATTTCTTTCATTATAAGATAAGAGTTCCGGTCGCTTACTCTTTCACCTCTAGATCTTACGACCAAAATGGACCGAGTTGTATGCCGCGCGACGACGGCAAAGAAATGCTGCTTCGCGGTTACCTGAGCTTCCGGACACCCTTTTCGGTTGGATACCCGTTCTTCATCGGATTACAGAAGAGGAAGTGTTGCAGTCTGCTGGCCTGGATGCATATGTGGTATGTTCCAATGCTTTGGCTTCTCTATGAGACCATGGACCCTTGCTAACTTGGTTCCCTTGGTAGTTCTTGTCTTTCTTCAAGTTTGCGATCCGATTCCTCTTGGCTGTCTTTATCTTCGCTGTGGCCATCATCCTCCCTATGCACTACAAATACACCGGCCAATACGGAGTTCCTGGCTGGGATCATATCCCCGAAAATAAGACTATGACCCCAATTGGTGGAATTGAAAAGGAAAAGCCAGTTACAGACCCTACCTATCTGTGGATATACGTGTTGTTCGCATATGTCTTCAGTGGCTTGGCTATCTATATGCTTCTTGACGAGACAAAAGTAATCATCCGCACCCGGCAAACATATCTCGGGAATCAGACCAGCACCACTGATCGCACCATTCGCCTGTCCGGTATCCCACAGGACTTGGGGACCGAAGACAAGATCAAGGAATTTGTGGAAGGCCTCCGAGTCGGCAAAGTTGAGAGTATCACGATATGCCGGAAGTGGCGCGAACTAGACGAATTGATCGACGAGAGAATGAAAGTCATCCGTGAGCTTGAGAGAGCATGGACAAAACATCTGGGATACAAGCGGCCCAAGGACGATGGGAATACGTTGCCCCTGACCAACCAACCACCCCGTGATGAAGACGATGAACGGTCCGGTCTCCTGTCCGGACACGAGACCAACCATGTCTCGGGCTATTCAAATGAAAGACCCAAAGTTCGTATTTGGTATGGTCCATTCAAACTTCATTTCCGGATGATCGATGCAATCGATTACTATGAGGAAAAACTCCGCAAGATTGACGAGCATATCCAAGATGCCCGAGAGAAAGAATATCTTACTACCGAGATTGCTTTCGTGACTATGGAGTCTATCGCCGCATCTCAAATGCTTGTTCAAGCGATCCTTGATCCACACCCAATGCAAATGTTCGCTCGACTTGCACCGGCGCCGGCAGATGTTATTTGGAAAAATACGTACTTGTCTCGTACTCGACGAATGTTTCAGTCATGGTCCATCACCATCGTCATTGGGTTCCTCACCGTGTTTTGGTCTGTGCTCTTGGTTCCTATTGCCTCATTACTGGAGCTGGAAACCCTTCATAAGATTGTCCCCCAGTTGGCAGAGTTCCTCCAGGAACATCCAATCATCAAGTCCTTGGTTCAAACGGGTTTACCTACCCTCGCATTCTCGCTATTGACAGTAGCTGTGCCTTATGTGTACGAGTGTAAGTTTTTCCATTGGACATTCCCTTTCATGTAGTTGCTCAAATCGCTGATCATGTTGCAGGGCTCTCGAACAACCAAGGAATGGTGTCACGTGGTGATGTTGAGTTGTCCATTATCTCCAAGAACTTCTTCTTCTCGTTCTTCAATTTGTTCCTTCTATTCACTGTGTTTGGAACAGCGAGTGGTTTCTATGGGTTCTGGGAGAACCTTCGGGATGCATTCAAAGATTCTACAACGATCGCCTTCGCACTGGCCAAGTCGCTCGAGGGCCTGGCTCCATTCTACATCAACCTGTTGATTCTTCAGGGTCTGGGCCTTTTCCCCTTCCGACTCCTCGAATTCGGTAGCGTCGCATTATACCCCTTCCACTTCCTCTCAGCCCGCACGCCACGCGAATATGCGGAGCTATCAACTCCTCCCAAGTTCAGCTACGGTTTCTCCATTCCGCAAACTATCCTGATATTAGTTATTTGCGTGGTTTACAGTGTGTTCCCAAGCTCGTGGCTGATCTGTCTATTCGGCCTGATCTACTTCACAGTCGGCAAATTTATCTACAAGTACCAGCTGTTGTATGCTATGGATCACCAGCAACATTCCACTGGCCGTGCATGGCCAATGATTTGCAACCGCGTGTTCGTGGGGCTGGTGGTTCATCAGCTAGCCATGATTGGCGTTCTCGCTCTGCGTCGGGCCATAACCCGGTCGCTCCTCCTGGTGCCACTTCTAGGCTTCACCGTTTGGTTTTCATACTGGTTTGGCCGTACATACGAGCCCTTGATGAAATTTATCGCCCTCAAGAGTATCAATCGAGACCAGCCGGGCGGTGGCGACATTTCCCCGTCGCCTTCATCGACCCTCTCACCGCCATCAGGCCTGGATCGCGATAGCCTTCCGATCCGCATTGGCGGACAGGACCTCGAATTGCGGCTGAAGAAGTATGTCAACCCGAGCTTGATTGTTCCGCTGCATGATGCCTGGCTTCCCGGTCGCAGCACCGCTCGAGGCAATGGAAATGGCGCGTCTGCCTTTGAGGCTCATCAAACACCGAACGTTTAGGTTCACCTGTCTACCTCTACCCCTGTGTCATTTGTTTATACACTCTTTTTTCTGCACATGTCATTGATCCATCATGTTTTACGACCTTGATACCTCGCATTTCACTATCTTTTTCTGATATGTTTTCATGTTTATGATATCCTTGCGTGACATGTTTTCTCTCCTTTTCTCGGGCTCGTCTCGCTTATCCTTCGTTATTCCCTAGTTGAAGTTTGTTTTTTTGCTTTTCCAATCCTTCTGTTTCAGTGTTGATGTCAAAGTCGAATATAGAGTTTGTATGATACTGGCGATCCCCAAATTCCGTCACTTTCTAATGGCATAGTCTATCCAGCGGTATGAGCGGCTGCCTTTCAAATACAAGCGAGGCACATCTCGTATCTAAGATTCCTCGGTCAAGGCATCAGGTTCGCTTAGGTTTACTCTTTTCCAACATTCCTCAGATCCAAAATCTGCCGGAAAACGTGGCAAGTGTCTGGGCAGAAAGTCAATACATGGTCTCACCGGGGAAAGCCGAAACTTCATGTTTCTCGTGTTTCCTAGTGAATCCAGAAGTATTTGTCCTGTTGTATGTAAATTAGTAGAAAATAGTGAAAGAAAATGTGTTTCGAAAGGATCGACTTCAATGGGGGTGGTCTGTGGCATCATTCTGCTAGGGGGTTCACAACACAGTTTATGCCCAACACAGCATCCATCCAATAACCCTTTGAAAGCGAAGATTCGTAAATCGGTTCGATCTAACCGCGGACATACTTGGACACATACGGAATCACCGGCTTCTGGAATCCCTAGGGTCCACATGGTCGCACATTCCTAAGCAGTGGGGGATGACACAGTTGTCTCTCTTGCGGTGAGGAGATGAAACAGTAAGAAAAGAACAGAGACAAAACAACCCATCCTTGGGCACTGAGGAATGTGGGATGTGTCGAACTAAATACTAATTGTTGAAGGTAGTGGTCTATTATGATCATCCCACGATTCAAGACATCTATGCATGTAATCGGTGAGGTTGCCAAGCCACTGCATTGGGGGCGCATTCTTTAAATTTTTCACTTTTTCCATGGAATATGTGTAGATTGATAGAAGGCGGCCTTTCTAATTGCTACGGTTGGATGAAATTGAAAGTGAAACATCAAGTTAAGCTAACGTTGACCCAGGAAGAGTCATGAGCCTATCTGGGCAAACCCTAAAACTCCCATGCATTTACTACTCTTGTCTCTCGCCACTTTGGATATATCCTCTCCCTTTCTACTTTATTTTCCTTTTTTTTTTATCGTAATTGTGAGAACTAGAAATGGCGAGGTGCAGTTAATTAAAGCCCTTGCCTCGCCCTCGAATCTTCGGGTTTCATTTCATCGTATCAGATCCCCCCCACTGCACCGCATTCAGAAGTGTGCTCGATACAACCTTACACTTAGCACATACTCGCTTCAATTGGTATGAATAAACTTTTTTTTTAAAAGTGAGTGAACTTACTTTAAAATCGGAAGTTCGGAAGAAATTGCAGCCCTGGAGATCAATAGGCTTACCGGTGTTCTTAGACAATTCATCCGCAGGACGCTTGCTGTATACACTTGTGAGAGACATTTTCACTCGGCTCTCTGCGTCACTCAATTGTGCATTGAATGCGACTTGGTGTGTGTTCAATTATTGAAGAACTTTTGTTCTGGATGCCAATTGAATTGCTGTCATATTCACATCCAATTCCAACATTCGATTTCCAAGCAATGTTCTGGAATTGATTTGAGATCCAGTAGTGAATATTACATCGCTCCCTGGAAGGCTGTATCATCATGCCTGCAGTGCGGTCTTTGAGTCAAGATGATGTTCGTCAGATGCCCAATGCATCCATCATGCACACCAAACGAAGCTCAACGAGGTCAATACCCTCAGTTTCGGCTAAGTCCGGGGCAGGATACATATCACAGAGTCGCTATCTCTCAAAATGCAATCCGAAGAGCTCATCCCCTTCCGCTGCAAATATGGCACCGGCAGAGATCCTACTGGAGATTTTCTCCATGCTGACACCGCGGGACTTCGACAACGCCCGGCGGACATGCTCACAGTGGATGCGGACTAGCTTAAATCACAAGCTGCTGGAGGATATGCTGAAAAGAGCAGGGTGGTGGGATGCATGGCTGCAAGACCGCAAAACGCCACGCACCTCCCGGTTAGATGAGAGCGAGGTTTGGAGAATGAGCTGCCGCTTTGCAACAGAATGTCTCCTTTCGGGGCGAAGATTGAATGTCGAGAAACCAGGATTCTTGACTACCGCTGTGGTGGACTTTTCAAACCTGTCTGGTTCAGGAAGAAAATCTCGCACTCGATTTCAGCCGGTTTTGCAGACCGAAGATAAAGGGCCGTCAACTTTCAGCATTAGCGCTTGCAGCAACTACCTGCTTGTGACGACAGGCTGCATAATTTATATTTATTCCCTTTTGGGTCGAAAGTCTAGACAGATATCTGTATCCGACTTCAACAACCTTGACTTGGCCCTGGTCTCACGCATCTCATGTCCGTTCGATATTGTTTCTGCTACCATCGACACCAGCAAGCCTCAATTTACCATCGCTGCATTGCTTTGCAACCGTGTTGGCATGATTTGTAACTTGGATATGGCTTGGGCCAAAGTTCCAATCAAGGGATCTCATTCGAGCAAAATGGCTACCTCATCCCGCCACTTCTTCTACAACGTCTGCACGGTAGACAACCCACCCCGAACAGTTGCTCTCTGTCCCGGCCGGCCAGTCGTCGCCTTTGGCTGCGCCGCAGGCATCGAAATCCACAGTGTAAACGAAACAAAGCGCAGCGAACAACGCAGATACTTCACCGTCCCCCAATCCTCCGAAATCCTTCATTTCCTCCCAAGTAGACCAGAAACACCAAGTGAACTACGTCTCATTTCCTCGCTCTCTGGACCAGGCGTCCACAAATGCAAATGTCCCCCTTCGCCCTCCCCTTCGTCTTCATCCTCAGCATCATCACCAAAACTTGACTCAAAAAGCAACCAATTCCATTTCCTCGCAGACATCCAGTCCTTCAACCGCCGCCGCATCCCCCATGCCCCATCTCGCAGCTTCATCCGCGCAACACACTGTCACCACTATCGTGCCGTTCCCATTAACGACGGTTTCCACATCATATTCATTGAGCCACGCACAAGCCTACTATGCATCGGCACCGACGCTCCAATCGGCGGGCCAACAAGCCTAACCCGGGCATTTGTCTGTGTTCCACCGTCTTTCTCAAATACCCAAAACCGACAGATCAAGACACCACCCCCGTCTCCATCCCCTTCGCATACAACTGCCCCTCCAAAAGACCTCCCAATCCCAACGACTTTCGCCGCAGGCTCTGATCTCCGCTGGGGCCTCCGTATTGTCGCAGCCTATGGCGACCGCCTCGTGCTGTACTCTATTCCCTTGGACATATTTAACATGATCCGCAAAGAGCGTGAAAGCCAAGGGGACGGTGTAATGGGTGACAGCGATCTCGGGCCTGACTGGTACGTTGACTCGGAGCGAACTCGCAAACAGCGAGAGAGTCTGGTGCAGAACCAGAATGGGGACTGGGAGTTCGTTTTGTCTGTCTCCTATCGGCCTACTGCTATGATGTGGCCGTTTAAGATCTACGGCAAGGAGATTGGGACTGTTAAGGGGATTGTAGAGCTTGCTGTGCAGTCCTCCCAGGGTGGAGCTAGGATTTGGGCTTTTGGAGAGGATGGCAAAGGCACGGTTATGGATGTTGATATTGGTGATGTTCCTACTCGGTCTATTGGTGTTTGTTCTGATGGGCGATTGGAAGATCGTGGTATCGTTCAGAAGACAAGTTCAAGGAAACGGAAGTTCGAGGAAGTGAGTGAGTTTGTGGGTTATGGTGCTGGTCACTATGGGATGAAGTGTGCTGGTCACGATATACAGTCTGTTCGACGATCATCTTTTGCAGCTTGTATTATAGATTTTAATGTTCCTTTGTATTAATATAATGATGTGAAACATACTATCAGATGTTGAGGCTTCCGTTTTGGTTTTGGCTTCTTTCTCGTCTTGTCTCTCTTCCTTCTCTCTTCCTTTTCTCTTCCTTTTCTCTTCCTTTTCTCTTCTTCCTGATTCTTCACGTTTCATCTTCCTTTTTCTTTCTCTTCTATCTCTCTCTTATCCATCCCTTTCCTCTGCTTTTTCTTTCAATCTCATCTCACTTTCAAGATCTCTTGGAAGACTTTGTGAATTCCACGTGGTTTAGCATAGTAATTTGACCACTATGGATTGTACTGTCAATTATACTGACTCTTACTTAGTTCACCTGTGCCAAATTCGAGGTCTACAATGGCTTCAACTCCCCTCGCGAGCCTGCCTCGCGACTGTTGGCTACAGGTGATAGAGTATCTGCCAAAACATGATTTGGATAGCCTGTCACGAGTTTCTCGCGACATTCGCGCCTCAGTCGAACCGAACCTTTCCTCTACCAATCAATCCACTGGGACTGGGAACATCCCCAGGTCCATAGAATCCTGTGCCTCCTCCGGAATATCTCCGAGCGACCAGAGTTGACTGACCACATCCGTCATGTCAGTTTCGTATGGTGGAACGTGGACCCCTTCCAAACAAACATCATCATACCCAAAGGAAACATTGACTGGGCCAAGGAAATGCTACAATTTCGGCCTACTCTGAGATGGGCCCGGAGGATAGTTCGAGACGCGAAATTCCCGCCCAATCTCAACGCCAAATGGATGGCACGAGTGTCTCATGGGGACGCCTATGTCTATGTCACACTGCTAGTCTCTCAGCTTCATAACCTTCGCAGCCTTCGACTGGATTTTTCATTCTTGCTCGAAGGTGGCTTCCCTGGGGACATGTTGCATCAATCTCTCTTCGGAAATCCAACCCCCGGCGTGTTGACTCGATTCTCGAAATTAGAAATGGTCGACTACGGAAGCAATTTGCCTATCACAGAATTCTACGACACCGACTATCCCGACGAAAGCCGTCAATTCATCCCCTGGTTCCACCTTCCTTCATTGAAGACTCTCGAGATATGGCTCCTGAGTTTGGATGGAATCACTGTCTTCCCTGAGCAGATTCCGGAAAGATCCTGGACATTGCCAAACCTGCGCACTCTTGTTCTTGCCAGGACAGGTGTCCCGCCCGATGAACTCGCCACACTGCTGTGCCAACTTCCATATCTGGAGTCCTTACACGTGGGCATGACCCTCAAATGCCTCCCAGCAGTCGACTTCCTCAAGCTGCCTGAGTGCTTTCTTCGTTCCTTGGAAACTTCAAGCCAAGCCATCAAAAACCTTTCTATCAGCCTGGAGCTTCTCCCATGTTGTGCAGAAAATTTCGTTCTAGAAGATTGGTTGGACGAACCTGCTAAGTCTTTTCGTGGCATGTTGAACAAGTTTCCTCAACTGAAAACGGCATCCATGCCGCTCTACTTGCTTATTGGTTGGGGTCCAACGGCCTACGAGCTTCGGGATGTACTGCCACCAAGTATCGAAGCCCTTCACATTAGACCTGATCTCTGGCCAACCACATCTCTCATCGAGTTCGAAATGGCAACACTTGAGGCGTTAAAGTCATTGATGAGGGACAAAGAGCGCGGCTCCCATCCTCTTCTCAGAACCTTTTCCATCAATGGATGGCATGATCGGTCTGAGCAGGAACTCCTTGCTCTAGGCATCCAGGTCAATATTGGCTACTTGATTCAGCGGCAAGCCATGCAGCTACACTGTCTCAGGAGAGGGTACAATCTTTTTTCTCGATATGAAAGCTGCGCACCTGGCTTGATGTTGAGGCGTGCGATCTTGGTTAACCAAGACGTCTACTGGTTCCCTTGGCCATTCGCTAGGGTAGATGAGCTCCCATCAAGCATGTCTCGATGGGAGATATGGAAACGTGACCAAGATCATGCTGATCAGATGGGTCCATGAGTCCGAGTCTATCCAACTAATAGCAGCATGAAATTTGTACGAATAAACTTGTCAAAATATTCCCATAGCAAATACGAGTATTTCCCCTAAAAATCTAAGATATAAGCATTTTAAGCTAAGTCGGCTTTAACTATTGCCGTGGACCCTGATGACGGCACAGGGTTAGTGGCCCCATATCTCCACTTTATATGCCGAAACCCTATGAAGTGGAACGTCGCTATAGCAGCCCTAAGTTGAAACATCTTGAGAAAATCATTGAACTTTTGATTCATTTTGACACGCTTAATAAATGCCCCGTGATAATTTAACTTGAATATCCAAACACTGCTTATTTTGTTTCGGATTTCTCGCGACGAGTGCGAACACCTTGAGCCAGAGTCTCCAATACTGACTCGGTATCCTCCCAGTTGATGCAAGCATCTGTGATACTGACACCGTACTTGAGACCGGCCTTGCCCTCTGCAGGGACCTTCTGGTTGCCTAGTACAAGTTAGTATAAACTTTTTATACATAGTAAAATCTCCATAAGACTCACCCTCATTGATGTTGCTCTCAATCATAACACCCATAATAGCATCCTCACCAGCAGCGAGCTGCTCAGCAAGCACAGCAGCGACCTTGGGCTGGTTCTTGTGGTTCTTCTCGGAGTTACCGTGGCTGCAGTCAACCATAAGACGGGGACGCATGCCCTTAGCAGTAAGCTTAGTCTTAGCCTCAGCGATGCTAGCAGCATCGTAGTTGGGGCCCTTCTTTCCTCCGCGAAGGATAACGAAGCAATCAGGGTTACCAACGGTTCCAACAATGGAGACAACACCTGGCTTTGTGACGGACAGGAAGTGGTGAGGGTGCTTGACGGAGCCGATAGCATCGACAGCGACATCGAGCGAGCCGTCTGTTCCGTTCTTGAATCCGACGGGGAAAGACAGACCGGATGAAAGCTCACGGTGGACCTGGGACTCAGTGGTGCGAGCACCAACAGCACCGACGGACAGACAGTCGGCCAAGAACTGGGGGGAGATTGTGTCGAGCATCTCACTTGCGATGGGCATGCCCTTGTTGGTCAGGTCAACGAACAGCTGGCGCGATACACGGAGACCCTTGTTGATCTTGAAGCTGTTGTCGATATCGGGGTCGTTGATCAGACCCTTCCAGCCGACGGTTGTGCGTGGCTTCTCGAGGTACGAGCGCATAACGATGAGTAGGTCGTCGGCGTACTTGGCCTTCATCTTCATTAAGCGATCGCAGTATTCGAGGGCCATTTCCGGGTCGTGGATGGAGCAGGGTCCGATCACTACCATCAGGCGCTGGCGCTTATCTGTGCCATGGACAATTGCGACGGCTTCATTGCGTCCGTCGAGTACTGTCTTTCGTGAAGTCTCGGTCAATGCGATCTCATGTTGGAGGAGATTGGGAGGAGTGAGAGGGTTGTAGCCGAGAACTAAAGCTGTTTAGAGACCAATTCCTAGTTTTTTTTGGAACAAAATTGGTAGACATACTGCGGGAGTCTTCCAAATGGTTGTGGTTGCCCACATTAGGGTTATCAATGAAGAACTGTAGAATTGGCGACGTCAGAGTGAAATTTAAAAAAATTCAAGGAGGGGTTGACTCACCGACATCGGAGTAGAGGGGTAGAGAGGGAATAGAGGGAAGAGGGCAGTTGTTCAAGTGTAATTGGGAGGAATTGAGGTAATTGCAATGAATATAAGAGTAAGTGAATAGAAGAGTAGTTAAAATAAAAAAATAAATAAGAAACAGGGCTTGTATGAGTCAAAAGCTCAAGAGGAACAATTTCCACGTGATTCTCGGTGACCGGCGCTGGAGTTCCAATCACGGCGATCCCATTAAAAAAAATAGATGAATTGTGGGCTATAAAATATATTCTATATTATGATGGTATTCATATAACAATCCTGATTATTGTGTTACCCTTGAAAGAATATATGTAGCCCATGATGTCGTCTTCTCTTTCACATTGGCCCTTGTTGTACCCGACGGTCGAGCTCCTGTAGTCCACGAACCAGGTCTTGACATATATCTGCATGCTGTTCCTTGACAGCTTGCATTTGCTGCTGATATAACTGCATTCGTGCTTCTTGTGCCTGGAATAGGTCATCAAGGATCCGACTGCACCCCTCTCGGTAGATCTCCAGAACTCGACTGATCGTGGCCTTTTCTGCCGCCAGCTGAGTAGACAAATGCTAAATCCTGTTAACACGCTCCCAGTCACACACAAGAAGTTTCGACTAACCGAGTTGGTTTGTTGAAGCAGGTGGTGTGCGTCCTTTTGCGCTACTTGCAAATTTGATATCCATTCCATGTCGTCATGATCGCCCGTCGTAGAGGATTGGTGCGATTTAGAGGGTGGCTGCGTTGATCCCGAAATATCTGTTCGGAAAGATTGGTCAAGCCCATGATTCTTTGAAGGAGCGCAACCTAATGCTCTCTCGTCGATCGTTCTCTGTGAAGAACTTGGTCTAGTCGTTGATGCTTTGTCGGAGTTGGCCCCATCAGCAGTATCCCCCGGAGACAACGATGGCTGATGCTTTTGACCCGGATGTGGCGGCCACAGGTTGCCTCCCGTCAGGTTTTCCATTTGGATCCCGTATTCCAAGAACATGTCTCTTGCGAACCTGGTACACATGTACCCCTCACTTTTAGGCCCGGTCCAGAACTCTCGTTCGCTTTCACTTATGCTAGTTTCAGTATCACTAGTTGTCTCTTCGTGGCCCTTTTCGCCATCCAGGTCAAACTGAGGTGCAATCATGCTCTTTACTGATTGGGGCATGAGTCGAGGAATACCGTTTCTGTCGACAATGCTAGTCTTTGGGACTGATTTTGGGGGCTGGGAGGATTCGGAATTCAGTTCCATTGGGGATACATTGGTGAGAAGAGGCTTTTGGGACTCCGGGGTATGGCTAAGCTCGCGTCCCTCGATCTGTCCTGCTGTGGGATCATCGAATTTTCCTGCATTTGAAGTCTCCAACGAGCTACCCGCCTGGCTTTCGCAGATGTTAGAGACGTATGAAGAGGTTGTCGGTGCGGATCTCATGGGTTGCAAGGTTGCAAATCCGGGGATATGTTCCATTTCCATGTGGTAATCAAGAATTGAAGGGCCGTCACCCATCAAGCCGTTGCCGATTTCAAATTCCGAGGAGCTTGTTGGTGTGGACATCCTATCATCGCCCAGAATCTGCCAGAAAGAAGCGTCATCTTCTTGTTCTATCTTCTCTTCCTTCGGCAAAAGTGTTTTGCTAATCAATGCTGGATTGACAGTCTTGAGCTCGGTCTGGCTTTGGTGCATCTCAACTGGAATTGTTCTGTCAAGCACGCTTTCGATCTTTGGAGGCTCCAACACGGTGTAGACCGGCATTTGGTCGGACTGGTGCTTTGAGGGAGATCCTTCTGGTTGTACTGGATCAGAGGAGATGATGAGAGGTGCATTTTGGTCATTGACTGGTTCATTCTGAGCAGGCTCTGCTCCGTGGAGCGCAAGCATCAACTTGTTGCCAACACTTTCTGCTCTACCGCGGTGTTTGCGGTGGCTCTTTTCATGAACCGCCATGGTCTGGATGTTTCGTCCCTTTGGAAGTGCCCTTGCCTCCAGGATGGTGAGCTTTGAAGTAGTCGGTCCTTTGAGATCGACATCGGAACTTGAGGATAATTCGGAGGTCACATTAAAAGCTTTGCCTTTACTTGTTTGTCCATTGGACTGTGCCCGGTGCTCTAAGATGCTGACTTTTGAAGTACGGGATGGCCCTTTGCCATAATCTTCGAAATCCGAGGATGACTCGGTTGTCACCGATGTGCAGCTTTTTATCTCGACGGTCACACCTTCCTTGCTGTTACTTCCATGTTTGTCATGACCATGTTTCGGTGGCGTGGGTTGGTGCGCAGCCTCGGTCACATGTCCATTGCGCTTTGTGGCATAATCTTTGCTTTGCGCATCCAGGGAGCCCATATCAGAAGGTCCATTATTGCCCAGAGGGGCTCCAGGAGGCAAAGTGCTTGCAGTGAGTGTTACCAATGGCAATTGTGGCTCCCTGGTACCGCCGGTAGTGGTCTTCTCTGTGTTCGACTTCCTGCGTTTTGCTGACGTTGTTTGTGGCTTTGACGATGTTGGTCGCTTACTCCTTGTGTTTTTGACAGCTGTCTTCGGTCGGCCTGGGTCTGTATCGGCAACGGAGGTTCCTCCATGGATTCCTTTGTTCTCCGCTATCTCATTAGGTGTAGGACGGAGATCTTCATCCCAGTCCACTTCTTGGGGGTTGGATTTGGGTGGCCTTGGTTTTGTGGGCTTTAATCGAACAATCTTCGACTCCGAGCGCTGGGATTGAAGGGCTTTTGACTTTTGGCGGCCTGGGTCTGTGAGGCCGTATCCCGAAGTCGTTCGGTCATTGACAATCGCCTTATTACCTGTGTCCGGATCAATTGGCGAAGAGGAGGCCCGAGTTTGTTTCATAATTGCTATCGCTGGAATCAGAACATGAAGATGGGATGTAAAAGAAAGTGTACTCTCCAGAGCTACCTGAGGGTGATGAACTAAGCCCAGTCCCAGCATACCCATGTATCACATGATATATCGAGTACAACCTCAATTGTCCTATTAATGTGTACATACTTATCTAGGTAATGGGTATAGGTCGTGGACAAACAACGGTTGATTTGCAAGATCAAGATATCTAGGTATTATTTTGATTTATTTTGATCCTCTTACATTTAGGTGGTTGAAGAGTATATCTCTAATTAAGGATTTATATTAGTGTAGTCTACTGCTGTATAACTAGATCTAGAAATGCTGAGATAATGTAGATCCTGGGGAAGCACAAAGTGTTCTATTTTTATCTCAAGTTGCATGCTTGTCACATATTTGAGATCTGCAAAGCACACCGTTTCCCCATATTCTTTCGTCAGATCAGGTCTAACTACATACATTCCTAACTCGAGATGTCCTTTACAGAATATCGCATCCTCAACGTCCGATCGGCCCGTGCAAGATCCGTGATCCGTGATGTCGATTAATAATCTCATTTTGAGGCTGACAATGCAGGCTGAGAAGGTTTATAAGTAGCCCATCTCACGTCAATACGTCCAATATTGCGTTATAGCTCTTCATAATGACACAAGCGCCAGCCGAAGAGGCATCAGATTCTCAATGGCTAATTAACGCAACCCAGCCTCTACGCTGGCTTCGAGGCGCTCTCCCCACTATTTTTGCCAAGCCTGCAACTGTCGAACCTGAGATCAAACCTATTCCTAGAACGAATATTGAACAACGTCGATCGTCACTCGTCGCCACTTCCCTTGATCAAGATGAGACTCTTCCTGAGAAGATTACCACACAGCAGGAACACGGGATTAGTGTGTCGGAAACCGTCGCCAAGGATGAGACTGTTCTTTACCTCGCATACGGGTCAAACCTAGCTTCCAAGACATTCCGTGGAATGCGCGGCATAACACCACTGTCGCAAATATCTGTACTCGTCCCCGAACTCCGTCTCACCTTCGATCTTCCCGGAGTACCGTACGCAGAGCCCTGTTTCGCAGGCACGCAATACAGAGATATTTCCTCAGCAGACGACGAGACCGAACTCCAAGACGATGAGACGGATGTGTCGGACAATGAGTACCTGTCTGAGAAGGCAGCGCTCATAACTCGGACACGGGAGGTGGAGGTGGTCTCGGATTGTGATAAGCGCCAATGGAGCAAACCTCTAGTCGGAGTCGTCTACGAAGTCACACTCGCCGACTACGCAAAGATTATCGCCACGGAGGGTGGTGGTCGTGGATACCGCGACGGTGTCATCGATTGTCACCCCTTCCCTTCCTCGTACGACCCTTCCGACCCCGTCCCAGATCACCCCAGCACACCGGCTTTCAAGGCACACACCCTGCTCTCGCCAGCTGCGGAAAGTGCCCGCCTCAAATTGAAATCCCAGAAAGGCGATGTCGCGCCGCTGTCCAGTGGTCCAAAGCTGCCGTGGTGGCATACCGTCTGCTTGCATTTCCGGCCGGATCCTTACTACGCTCAGCCCTCTGCCCGCTACCTTGGGCTGCTCAAGTCTGGTGCTGCGGAACATTCTCTGCCTATTTCATATCAAGAATATCTTGCACAGATCAAACCTTATCGTACTACAACTTCGCGCCAGAGTGTCGGGAAGATGATCTTTTTGATTATGTGGGCGCCTTCGTTGATTTTGACTATGTCATTATCTAGAGCATGCGCAGGTCCCGATGGTCGTAGTCCGATATGGCTGGTGACTCTGGCCAATATCATTTCTTCGGGTATGTGGAATAGCTACGATTGGTTCTTTGCTCCTATCTTTGGGGATGGCGAGCGGGCTTTAGATGATACCCGGGCCTGAAGATACTTTGGGGCCATTTTGATATGTTTTATAGCCGTATAAATTCTTGCATGTACATAATTAGAAAACGATCACTGTACACCACTCGTCTCATTGCCAAGCCACAGAACATATACCATATCATCTGATATAGACATGCATATACAGGCATAAGCTGCCAACTCTAGACTCGCATATATATAATGGTCTCATCTGTCATAATCACAAAGGAAATTAAATTCAGATGACTCCTCGAAGCACACAGTTTTCGAAAGGAAATGAAAAAAAGAATATATCTAGGATACAGATACAGGTGTTCGGGGAGCGTTCTAACAAAACACAGACACAGCGACCAATAGATAGACACAAAGATGACGAAACAGAGAGGCCTCTTTGAGGCACCTGTATCAAAACCGGGGATGTGGTATGGGTTCCCCAAGCCGTACCGGCCCCTTCAGCCTCTCACATTTTCCCACTCGAAAAGGCCTTGCTGCAAAATTTAACGGCGGGGGCCGATCGGGGGGCTGTACACGACCTTTCGGGTCTTGAGAGGGGCCCACTTGTAGCGCTTGACCCAGACAGAAACGGCGAACAGACCGGTCAGGAGGGCAACAGCCTTGACACCCATCTTCTTGCGCTCGTCCATCTCGGGCTCGGCGGCCCAGTTCAGGAACTCGACAACATCCTTGGCCATCTGGGAGGTGGTGGCGGGGGTACCATCCTCGTACTCGACAACGCCATCGAACAGGACACGGCCCATGGCAATACCTATGACTGAGTCAGAAACGCTAAAACGAATTGTTATGGGCTTGTCGCTACATACCGGTACCGGGGAAGTAGGGGTTGAAGTTCATGCCCTCGGCGACGGCAGCACCAGCGGGAGGCTGATCGGGGTAACCGGTGAGGAGGTTGAAGATGTAGTTGCAGCCACCGTGACGGCCCTTGGTGATCAAGCTGAGATCGGGAGGAAGAGCACCACCGTTGGCGGCACGGGCGGCTTCCTCGTTGGGGTAGGGGGCGGGAATGTAATCAGAAAGCTTGCCGGGACGCTTCTCGATGTTGCCCTCGCTGTTGGGCTCGGTGTCGTACTCGTGCTCCTCGGCGAAGGCCTTCATCTCGTCGACGGTGTGCATGGTGCCGACCATTGAGCGCCATGGGACACGAGTGAGGGAGTGGCAGGAGGCGCAAACTTCACGGTAGACCTGGAAACCACGGCGGAGACTTGGACGGGTCAGTACATGTCTACCGGTAAGAGTAAAATATGACTTTATGGAAAAGGCACTCACGCAGCGTGATCGAAAGTCTTGTTGAACCGCTCGTGCACCCAAGGGTACTGGGTAGCGTGGAGTCTGGATAAAATCACCCGTTAGCTTCCGCCATTATTCTTAATCTGGATCGCACAATTCTCGGCTGCGCCGAAGCCACGAGTACGGCGATCCTCCTGGGCAATTTCACTCACCCCTCCTCAGCAGGTGTCATGGCGAAGGCTTCCTGGCCATAGAGATGGTAGTACCATGCGGTGGAACCGGCGGCGGCGGCAGTTGCAAGCGCAGCAGTGAGTGTGAGGTAGAAGGGGGAGCTGGCGGCCTCGGCTCCGGCGGAGGTGGAAGAGGCACGCTGTTGAATATTAGCAACGGAGTCCTTCTTGAATCCAATGCAGGTTCAAGGAATCGATTGTCCTCTTCCGTGAAGATCAATGGGGTGGAGGACGTACCGTGGACTTCCCGAGGGACTGGCGGGCGATGGCCCGGTTGGACGCGCGCAAAATCGAACATCCCAGCATGACGAAGTTTAACCCAAGCAATTGAATTTGATTGGGAATGGGTGCTGAATCGCCAAAGCGAGAGAGGGGTGGGTGGGGAGAGGAGGGGGGATGGTACAGGAGAGAGGTGCTGGAGGTTGAGGTCGAAGTCGAAGAAACTTGACATTGATGATTACCCCCTTGCTCTGATTGGCTCCCGGCCACGCTAGAAAACCGACTCTCGGAACACCACAATTCTGCTGACTTGCAATGGATTGATCTATATAAAATATATTAATTGATTATAATTCATGATATTCAGTCTATAGCTTCTTCTGTTACTTCCTTTGGTGTCTTGTGGTTTTTTTTTTCTTTCTCCGGTTGTGTGTATCCCGGGATTCACCGAGAAAAACATTTCCGGAATAACATACAACATAGAATAAGTGTACTATATTCGAATATAGCTACAGAGTAAAAGATCTTCAAATCAGGTTGCTAAGTACTAGCTATATATATCACACTAGTCTATTATTTCCCCAGTATTTACTATCTTCCTCCCAGGTCGGGGTATGTCGGGATCTTCCCGGTACCTCTATACCTAGCTCTACTACAGCTATGTTTAGCTATATTAGGTTGTATTGTAACTCGTGGCGTATTAGGAAGGATTCAATTGATATATCTGAATTTAAAAGGTCCTAGTTGTTTAGAAGATGTTCTAATTGGGAAATTATATTCTAATGTTGGCTGTTAACTCGATGTATATATATTTGGCTACTAAGATGCTCGGAACATCTCAATTTCTACTTCTGATTCTTTCCGCAGTTTATTTAGTCCCCATATTTGAACTTGATACACAGCCAGGGCCAAATATCATTCAACTCTCTTATTTCTTTCAAACGAAGAAAGCTTCACTTGTCTTCGTACAGATGCAATGCATATGAGAGCGGTGTACATTTTGCCAGCCCGGGGAGGCGGCATTGGACCTGTCTGTCTGTGCGCGATGCTCGTGCAGCATTGGAATGTGGTTCCTGATTTACGGTTGAGAAATAAGTGGTTGGATGCGAAGATGTCTGCATGAGAATTTGATACCATACCCCAAAGACGCTGTGTGTCTGCTCGATATCGAGACCGGACCACTCCCTACAGCCTGGAGCAAGTCCGAGGCTGCCTCAAACCCCGAGTTCTCAACAAGTGTCTTCTCTTCAGATGAAGAGTCTAGGAATACAAGATGTCAGCTGCAAAAAAGGGACCCACGGCTGCAGCCCAGCCGCGCAGAGATGTGCTGGCCTCGCTGCGCATGGCGTCAATGGAAGACATATCCAGAGCTGCTCTTCCGGCAGGTACGTGAGACGAGCACATGCGGTGATTGGGGAGACACATGCTGACAAGAGGAAAAATAGAGATTGTATCCTCTATCCTCGATTATGTCGGCCCCGTTGATCTGATCCGAGCAGCGCGGTCCTGCAAGCTCATGCACGAGATGGCGTATGACGACACTCGATGGGTACACAAATTGAAACGAATCGGGTGCTGGGATGAAGCAGATGCTAGGAAGCATGCCGAGGTTGTGTTTGGGACACTAGCCAACATGGAGGTCGTCGAGCAGCAAGAGGAGGCCGAGCTGGGCGAGGGACCTGTCCCTGAGATCACTGTTAGCGACGGCCCTTCCAATGACTTGAAGGAAATCTCCGATGGATTCGATAAGATTGAATTAGTGAATACTGCGTCGCAGCCCAATATGTTTCAGGATCTCCAGGATGAACCCGCCCTGACGGTCTTGAAACAAGTTAGGTCAATTAGGGGCGAGGCGCGTCAGGAATATGGAAAGGTGCATGCTGCACTGGCACCGTTTTATGAGGATATCGCGCGATCTGGACCGTCGTCTGAAAACCTGGTGTTCACGAAATACAAAGATCCCCAGGCCCAAGCGCAGATACTAGCACAGTTGTTAATGTTCTCCAAATCTGACATGACCCAAGGGTGGGATGAGCGGGTGGACCGTTTAGAGCGCACAGTCTCGATGTTTGAGACTGCTGCGCTGAAGGAGTTCCGCCAGGGGTATGAATCAGACGACATTGACGGGACTATGCGGAAATACGCACACATTCTATGGACACTCAATGGCGGGCAGGCTGCTGTGGACCTTTTTATCCACCACAATCACTTGATGACTCGGAAATCTGAGCTGGGAACCGTCGCTTCCTGCATTGACGGATCAACGGGCGAGGTCAAAATGGAGCAGACGCAGGCTTTCTTCACACGTCTCAGTGTCGCCTTCAACGATGAAATATCAATTATGAACCGCGTCTTCCCTCCGGACTTGGACGTCACCTCAAAATTTATGACAAAAGTTGGCCAAGATGTGTTGTATCCTTTCCTCACGGCAATATTTGATGAGCTGCATCGCATTAGCATTGAGTCATATCTCACTGCAATCTCGGCGACATTTGTCCAATGCATGAACCTTTCGGAGGCTCTGCTTCCTATACGAGGCTCTGATGCTAAATTCGACGAATATCTTGATAATGTCGTGATCAAGATTTACGAGCCGCATCTGGATCTGTATTTGGCAGAAGAGCTGGACTTTTTCAAGAAAGCCTGTGAATCTACAGTGAGTGAGTGGGACCGGCATCTCTCTGAACAGGCGGCCTCGACAGAGTCTTTTTTGATGTCAAATGTTAATCGCCAAGCCGATAAACGCGACTTCCTTACTTCTTTCAAGAAAGTGATCATGATGCCGGTAAACATCCTACCGAGCTTTTCAAGCGCCAAACCAACCGAAGAGCCAAAATCAGACACGGAAACAAGCAGTGCAAATCCGTTGCAACCAGCCAAAAGTCCCAATCGATTTTCGACAATACCATCGCCTGCCCCAGTGGTCGAGGAAGTTCCCACCACAGAGCTGGCAGCAAAAGCTGCCATTATGAAGTCGAAGATGGAGGGTATCCGATCGTTGTTCAGCATCGAAATCGCACTTGGTCTAGTTCATTCCGCCAAGTCCAGCTTGGAGAGAGCCGCTCAATTTGTGCGACTTGGCGGCGAATTCGGGCATGCAGCGAAACAACAATGTGAGGCAATCTTCGTGGCACTCCTACGTATATTGGGACACCAACACGTTATCGTTGGATTTGATAAGGCTGTCAGCCATCTGTCTAATTATCGACCTCGCGAGCAAGGAGAGCGTGATCAATCTGGGGTTGAACCTCTCGTCACTTTCCTGGAACTGGTCAATGTCGGCGACTTGATTCTGCAAATGATGGATGTATTTTATGAGCAGGAGTTGATCGGCCTGCGGTTAACTGATAGAAATGATTTTGTGGACCCTGCCAATAAAGAAAAGAAGAGGTTCGAACAGATGCTCGATGAACGTGTTGCAGCTGGTCTGAATAAGGGAATCGACGTTCTCATGGAAGAGGTGGACTACATTCTGGCAACAAGACAATTAGCCACTGATTTCAACCCCGGCGTTTCCTCAGATCCACACCGACAGACCATGGACGTAGGCGTCAGCGAAGTCGCCGTCGCCGTCGTCGACGTGGTTTCATCGCACACACAGATGCTAGTCGGGAGCACGGACAAGAGCACACTAGATGTGTTCAATCAAGAAGTCGGGCTCCGCCTATTTACTGCTCTATGTAAACATCTCAAGCGACAGCGCATCAGCGTGGAAGGGTCACTCAAGTTGATCAGGTATGTATCTCGATTTTCCCTGCGCAAAACATTTCGCTGACTTGACTTAGTGACATGAACCACTATTTCAAATATATTCAAACATTACGAAACAATGAGCTACTTCTCTATTTCACGGCATTCCGTGAGCTCGTGCAGATTTACCTGATCGATCCTGGTCATGCCAAGGAACTGGCGACTGTCATCGCCGATGCAGATCGGTTCCATGGGATTTGGCGTGTGGAGGAGGTCTATGAATTTGCTGAACGCCGGGCTGATTGGTACCTCGTCAAGCGGGATGTGGAACGAGCTATGTATGGAATTGGTTGCAATGTGATGTAAATAGATACCGATACCCCCGGGAATTGTATAGCGAGTGGCGTATAGGGGTACCTGCAACGCGGACACACATGTTAGCATGGCATATTCTCTTAAGGAGAGTAGACCTTTACGAACATGTAAATAGCTATCGTTGAATACGTGAAGATATTTGCATTTTTTAGGAACAATGTCTTCAGTTCTTAGTTTCAATTGAAACAAAAGAAAGTGAAACGCGACGAAACTAAGTCTAACAGAAAATTATAAAGATCAGTCTCTTATTGAATTGTCAAATGTCAAATATCCAAATATCAAATGCAACTGTAGCCCTAATAGTCCTGACGTCAACACCGGCGGCTACTGGAACATCAACTGCAGCATCTGAAACGGACGTGAAGAAAAAGTCTACCCAGTCCGGTTGCATTTTCAAACATTAGACTTTCAAAATGTCTTTGACCTTTTTTTTGCTTTTGTTTCCCATTCAGGGAATTTCTTCACCTTTCAGTTGAGCACGTCCTTCGAGATCTGTGAAGATTATCTGATTTTCTAGATACCTTGTGCTATTCATGAGAACACAGTATACACAATGAATGGCTATCGCTGCCTAAGACAATAAATAGACTTGAATACACGATTATTCCAAGGTTGCATCATCATATACTTCTATCCAAGGGACGTCCTAGGACCGCCGCCTGAACCGGATCGGAACCTGGCGCTACCATTGATTCAACAAGTATATCAAAAACCCCATCTCAGATCATGCAATAACAATCTACAACTACCTGGCTACATATTCAAGTCACAAAATAAGAATTCCAATCTTTCAAAATGGACCGAAACAACCACAAAACTACAAGATGGCTGGCCCGTCTTACACTCCTCATGCAAATACTCAGCGCAAATGCCGAAGTAGTAACCGTCTGGACCACGGTAAAAGTGCCTGCGCCAACCCCAACCGTGCCGTTATCGCCATCTTACACCTCCCTCGACACGTTCAAGGACGATATGTTGAAAGTCACGAACGAGTACCGCGCCAATCACGATGCCAGTCCACTAAAATGGAACGATACACTGGCTGATTACTCTCGGGAATGGGCAGAAGCCTGTATCTGGAAACATTCGGTGTGTATAAATATTCCCAATACCATGAGATAATGCTAACACGTGTGTAGAAAAGTAGCTACGGCGAGAACCTCGCATTTGGATATGATAATGTCTCCGCTGCTGTCATCGCCTGGGGCGATGAACGCGATATGTATAACTTTGACAAGCCGACAGGCTTCACCGAGGAGACTGGACATTTCACTCAGCTAGTCTGGAAGTCGACTACGCAGGTTGGATGTGCTGCTGTCAACTGTGGGTATAAGAAGGACGACAACGCCAAAAGAGATGAGGAGATCGAAGTACGAGAGGATGTCTTCGAAGGGATGGTTGTGGCGCCTCGTTTCAGCGGAGACGAAGCGGAACGAGATAGCTTGGAAGGGCTCAAGGTTGCACGAAGCGAGCCGCGAGCTCAAGGGTGGTATGTTGTTTGCGAGTATACGCCTCCTGGAAATGTGGTGGGCTTGAAGGATTCCTATTTCAAGAAGAATGTTTTGCCGAAGAAGGAGCCTTCCGCTGAGTCGACAAAGTCTTCTTCGTCCACGACTTCTGAGCCTTCTTCCACGTCTGTCTCTGAGCCATCGCCTTCGCCAAATGCCGCATCCACTACCATCGGGAATCGTCGGCCTAGTCATCGGCCTACAGCATGTGCTATGAAGTTCGAGCTGAGCTCGACATTGGGGATGATGCTGGTAGCATTGGGGACGGTCGTTGTCGGAAGAGGGCTTTACGGCTGAGATAGTTACTTTTAAATAGTTTAAATAAGAAAGACAAGGTTGAACTTTGCTAGAAACTGGTTTCGTAGCCATCTCTCATGCTTATCCACATTGCACATTTGGTCGGGAGGCGTACCGCTCGATCTATTGATTTTTGTAATGTCCCGATCCTCACTGGGCTTGCCCAGGGGACCTAAAAGAAACACAAGGGGACAGAAGGCTGGGTTCAGGCACAAGCGCGAAACGCCAGCAGAGAAACAGGGGGAAAAGAGGAACAAAAGGAAACACATTATTTGCGAAAATAGAACAGACAGATTCATCAGCCAATGACCTCCTCGGTCTCCTCGATAATCTCCTCCACAATCTCCTCGACCACGGAGTCGCCCTGGTCTTCGACAACGGGGCGCGCGTCGGCCGCGGCCGCGGGTGAATCTGCATCCTCTGGGAGGCTGAAAGCCTCCTTCTCTTCGGCCAGGAGCTCCTTCTCCCGACGGAGCCAGGCGAGCCACTCGCTGAGTACACGCTTGCGGGTCTCGACAACGGCAGTGTTGGCAATGTCGACAGCGTACTTGTCTTCCTCGTCGAACTCCTTTGAGTACTCGCGGAGGTTCTTGCGCACTTGCTTCTGCTCCTCCTTGCTGAGAAGAGTGGCAGGGCGTGGGCGCCAAAGGAACTGCTTGAACTTTTCGGTGGGGTTCTCGGAGAGGGTAGTACCGGAGAAAGTGTGCATGTTCCAGCCGTTCTCCATCTATAAGGCGGTCAATACTATGCATCATAATCGAAAATAGAAATAGGTTAAGTCTTACCGAGTGAGTCCACACACTAGCGCTGCTGACAACGTAACGACCGGTGGAGTCCCAGTCAACATCGGTGACACCGTAGTGCTCCACGGTCTTCATCAGCTGGAGGTTAGCTGCGAGATCCTTCTCAGCCTCGTTCTTCTCGCCCTCGAAGTCCATATCCCAGAAGTCCATATCGAAGTTGGTCTGGGAGTGAACAGTGGCGACAACAACGAATCGACCCTTGGGTGACCAGTAGATGCCGTTGCTGGTCTTCTTCTCAATAGTGCGCACCAGCTTGAAGTTACCGGCGGTGTAGCCCTTCTTCTCGGGTGCGAAGAAGGAGACAGAAGTCTTAGGGAGGACGGCGGCACCAGTTGGTGCCTCGCCGTTAGCGATAACGACGAATCGGGATCCATTGGGCTCCCAGGCAAAGTTAATCACGGTGTCCTTAAGACTGTCAACAACCTCAACGGGCACACCCTTCTCGCGAACGCGGAAGATCTCCAAGTTAGTGGCCAGAGACTTCTTCGACTTGGAGTGACGGTCAACCTTGACGCAGACGTAGGCACCCTGTGATTGCCAGTGCAGCTTGACATCGGAAACGTTGAACAGGTTACGGGTTCGGACAATCTCCTTTGAGGGGACGCTCATCATACCGACACGGGCGGGGTTGCTGCCGATTTCAGGAGTCCAGAAGCAGAGCAATTGCTCGTACTGCTTGATACCCTCGCGGGCGACGGTAGCAGGGGACCACTCGAAGTCCATAGCACCCTCAATCTTCACGGAAGTGCGACCAAGAAGGTTCATGTTGGGCAGTTCGTAGATAGAGAGAGATTGGCCCTGGAGCATGCGAGCAACGTACTTCTCGTCAGCGGACCACTTGAAGGCAGGCCACTGCACCTTCTTCTTGGGCGCAACATCGCCGTCGATCTCGGTAGGGGCAGCCAAATCATGCGACACAAACGAACGGAGAGGCTTGCCAGTCTCAATATCCCAGATAATGATGTTCTTGCCATCCTCCTCGTAGGTCAATAGTGGCTGACCTTCCTCGACCTGGATGGGCCGTGCTGACCACGTTGTCAAGTAGCCCTCAAGCGGGGAGAACTCAATCAACTGCACGAAGGGGTGAGGGAACTGCTTTTGCTTGGAGAAGGACTCGCCGCCCCAAAGTTGGACACCCTGGGGGTGGACGGAGGCAAGGAATGTACCCTTGGGGGACCATTGAACGAAAAGTTGTGTCCAGTGAGCGCGATCCACGATATTCTCTGGTGGGTTTGTCTTGTTGTTCCAGAACACGCCAACCTTGTCGCCACGGTAAAGGGCGAATTGATCACGGGCGCTGCTATCTCCCATCCACGAGCGCAGGTGCTCCTTCTGCTTGAACGGTTCCGGGGTGATTGGCTTGTATTCTTCATCGACACGACCTTCACGACCATAACGCTCGATATCCATCAACTTGTTGACAGCCATAATGTGCTTCTTATCGAGAGGGACGCCGTGCAACTGCTTGACGGCGGCAACTGCCATTTCCGGGGTTTCATATTCCACAAAAGCGAACCTATATCGCCCCAACAAAAGTTAGAAATCGTCCATGATTCCTCCTTGTCTCATTGGATATCCAATACGCACCCTTCGGTCATCTTCTTGTCGTTAACGGGCATGAAAACCGCATCTTCGGAGGTGCTGCCGACGGAGTTGAGTTTTCTCAATAAGAACTTGACGAGTTTTTGCCGGCTATCTTCGGGCACAACGGGGAGGCCATCGATGACGATAAATGTGTCTAGTCCCTCCTCGACTTTCACTTCATATTGCTCCTTGAGATCTGTGGATTAACGTGTTAGAGAGGGGCACACAGACCATGAGAAATCTTGCACTTACCGGAGAAATCAATCTCCTCCTCCTCTTCCTCGTGGAGATCCTGCTCGGACAGGGTATCGAAACTGGGCGCCATGATGGGTATCGAAGGCGTCTAGAGGCTTCGGAGCAAAGATAGATCGGTGCAATCCACTGATGGATTTTCGGGCAGAAACAAATCGCGGCGGCCAAGCGGGTTCTTTGTGTGGACTGACTCAGCACTGAGTCAGCACCTGCAAATGTGTGCCTCAGGTATTAAACACCACGTGACCAAGATGCACCTGATTAGTCATGATTTCCCCAGCTTGAGGTCGGGCCCGTCAATGATCACAGACGTTTCTAGAGGTTGTCAATTTGGATACACATTTCTTTTAGACTGCATAACTTGCACCAAGCTTTTTGCCGGACCAGGTCTTTGTCTATTATTTCATTCATAATCATCCCATCTCTGCACTTATTTCGCCTGGCATTTCTCCCTCCAATGCCCCGCCGGTATTAAGCGCCAGTGCGACTTGAGTATAGCCCACCTGACAACTCCGAGCTCTCCCTCGACCACCATACTTCCCTACAAACCCCACGATATCCTCAATTGCGAACTGCAAATCTCAACTCAGCTCGTCCATTTGAATATAAGCAGCCAATCTTCGTGATCAACTAGAAACAAGATGTCGTGTAAGCTACCTCCGGCGTTGCCCCGGTGCCAACTGCCGGTTCTCCAAAAAGCCCCCCAAATAGCATCGCAACTGATCGTGGACCTTGCGAAATAGTGACCTCTGAACTGCGCGACAAATATATCGAAATAATTGACGACATTCTAGCCCAGAGCGACCTAACTACCATCTCAGAGAAGCGCATTCGCAAAGGTCTTCAGGATGCCGTCGGCTATGATCTCACTCCGATGAAGGTCAGTCAAGTTACGGCGATTTGTGGCGCAATATTATTTCGGGTCTATACAGCATGACTGGCGAAGGACTGTGGCTGACATTCGCAAAGTCTACAATCAAGCAGCTGATCATGGACCGATTCGATCGTTGCGCCCAACAAAACGGCGTGGGCGGGTCGCCTGATGAAACTGCACCAAGCAATGGTCAGCGCGATGTTGATTCGGCCTCAGCTGCGGTGCCCTCCCCGCCTCCATCCTCATCTCCTGTGAAGCGCCAGGCCTCTAGTGATGCCACCTCCGAGCCCGCGAGCGCATCGCCGCCTACCAAGAAACACAAGCCTGATACCGATACCGATGCGGATGCGGCGTTCGCGGCCAAGCTGCAAGCCGAAGAGAATTCGCGCGCGCGACCCACCCGTGGGGGCAACACCCGGCGTGCAGCTCCCGTGAAGAAGAAGAGCAAGGCCAAGACCTCGAAGAGGGTCAAGGCAGAAGATGATTCAGATATTGGCTCAGGCGACGAGCCAAAGAAGGAGGTCAATCGAAATACTGGGTTCCACGTATGCCTTTCTATATCATCCTTCCACATCCTCCCGTCAATTTTAACACGGCCACAGAAACCTATGAACCTCTCCGAACCTTTGTCCGCACTTCTGGGAGAACTCACAGTGAGCACCTTTCCCGATTCTTGGCCAGTGGACCTTTGCTTATTTTGTACAGCTTTCGCGACCACAAACCGTCAAAAAGGTTTGGCAGTACATTCGCGAGAACGAGCTCCAGGACCCTAGCGATCGCCGCCAAATCCTATGCGACGATGCTATGCGTGCCGTCTTCAAGCAAGATCGAGTCCACATGTTTACCATGACTAAAATTCTCAATCAGAATTTGTACAATCCCGATGAGTAAGGGTTGACAGATTGACTTCGATCATTATGGAAGAGCAGGCTCCAAACTAAGTCCTGTTTCTTAACGATTCTCCTTTCTTTCGCGGTTGTTTCTGTTTTTTTTTTTGCGATGCATGGGGATGCTGGCGTGAATTTTGAGCAATTTCCATTCGCCATTTTTGTTTCTTTGGATTTGACTTGCTTATGGTCTCCAACAGGAGTTGATATAGCCCTCCATAGGTGCTTTTACAGCCTCAAAGGTCCTGGAATCTATTACTTACACGATATAAATACGTGTAAATCCTTGTCATGTAGAATTTTAATGTAACAGCTTACAATATACGCCTTTTGATGTATATTATTGGATATCATGGGTGTCGATGGTTGCTCTTGCATAAGGGAATGGGAAAAGTCGACATATTGTTTGTGTAGATGCTTCAAAGGCCATTCAATCAAATGAGGTGGTCCAAAAGACAGAGAGTGATCGGTTGAAGACCTCACATATCTCCATCCAATGTCTGTCGGTATGCGGGATCAGTCAGCGGCATCTCACTTTTTTTCCAGCACCTCTCCCCCACCACAATCCACAAACCCCAGATCTCTGCCGCTCAAGAACACCTGTTATTGACGCCGAACTTTAGCTTGCACTGTGACATTTTCCCCCGTCTCCGCAATGGCCGATAACCAGGCCCCAGCCCCAGAGTCCAGCCAGGGTCGTGGCGGGCGTCGCCGCGGCCGCGGAGGGGCAGCTCCCTCCGGCCGTGGAGATTCGCAACAAAATACCGGCGATGGACAAAAACGCTCGAAGCCTCGCACACGAGGTGGCGGTCGTGGCAGCGGCGAAGCAGGCCGACAAACTCGAAATACCGATCAGACCAACAATCAAGATACTCAGCCCTCGAAAGCCACGGTGCCAGCAACGAAGAAACCGGTGGAAGCGGCCACGGACGATGCAGATGATGGGGAAGTGTGTTTTATCTGCGCTTCTGCCGTGGAACATACCTCTATCTCCCCCTGTAACCATAGGACGTGTCACATTTGCGCGCTTCGGTTGCGGGCACTGTACAAGAACAAGGCCTGTGCTCATTGTAGGGTATGTTAATCTTGCGACTATTATTCGACGAGCTGAGTTGCTTTTCGTTTAAATTGTGTTTCACATGCTGACCTATATACAGACTGAATCGAACTACGTGATCTTCACAGATGATCCAGTGCGGCGATATGAGGAGTTTGACAAGAAGGATTTCGCTCGAACGGACGACAACCTTGGTATCGAATACGAAAGTGACGAAATATTTGGAGACACAGTGCTGTTGCTACGATACAATTGTCCGGACGAGGACTGCGATGTGGCCTGTTTGGGGTGGCCAGATTTGCACCGCCATGTCAAGAGCAAGCACAGCAAAGTTATGTGGTATGTTGACATCATAACCTGCGTAGTTTTTAAATTGATAGCTGACTGTGTCCTCCAAATAGTGACCTTTGTACTCGTAACAAAAAGGTCTTTACCCATGAGCATGAACTATTCACCATGGCGGAATTGCGTAAGCACGAAAAGTCTGGGGATGACAAACCTGGAGCTATAGACCAGAGTGGCTTCAAGGGACACCCCGAGTGTGGCTTCTGTCGTCAACGGTTTTATGGCGACGATGAGCTTTACACCCACTGCCGCGATAAACACGAACGTTGCCACATCTGTGACAGACGCTCCTCCCACCGCCAACAACAATACTATATTGACTACAACGCACTGGAGAATCACTTCCACAAGGATCATTTTGCTTGCCTGGATAGAGAATGTCAGGAAAAAAAGTTTGTCGTTTTCGAGTCCCAAATGGACTTGAAAGCGCACCAACTCGAGGCACATCCCGAAGGTCTTTCTAAGGACGTTCGGCGAGATGCTAGAATGGTTGATCTGGCAGAATTCGATAACATGCGCACTCCTTATCAACAGCAACGCCAGCGTCGTGGCGCCGGCCGAGGCCGTGACCCCAACGCCGAGCCACTGCCAGTCTCCAGTGCACAGCCAATGACCCGTGCGGAAGTTGCATACCAGCGACAGATGGCTATACAAAGTTCTCAGTCTGTCTCGACACGAAACTTTGGCGGCCAGCTGACTCGAGAGGATGTCCAACCCGTGCGTGCTCCAGAGAGATCCGCTGCTGCTGCTCCAACGCAGTCTGCCCCCGCACGATCTCAACCTCTTCCGACTGCAGCATTTGAAGGTTTGAACCTTTCTGCGAACTCCGCGCCAGCCACCCCGCAAGACCAGGCCCGTCGAATGCGCCATGAGGCCGTGATTGAACGTGCTTCTAATCTCCTCCGTAATGATGCCACTAAACTCGCCGAATTCCGTAGTAGAGTATCAAGCTACCGCGCCTCTTCTATCTCGGCAACTGAGCTCATCGATGCCTTCTTCTCATTATTTGACACTTCCAGCACCGAGCTGGGCAAGCTCATCAAGGAACTTGCTGAAATCTACGAGGATGAGTCCAAGCGTGCCGGTCTCCTGCGATCCTGGAATGACTGGCGTGCCATCAACGAGGATTACCCAGCCCTTCCAGCCGGTGGTCTGTTACCTGGCATGTCAACAGGCGCCGTCAACACTGGCGGCAATCGTGTCCTGCGCTTGAAGTCATCAACTGCTAAATCCTCCCGCTCTGCCGTGGGTAGAAGCGGCGCCCTCCCAAATGCACCCTCTAACCCTTTCCCTCCCCTATCTGCCGCAGCTGGCCCCTCCTCGCGCCGAGGAAAAGCTCCTTCCGCTACCCCTTGGGCAGCAGCAGCCCCGCCGCCATCCTTCTCCCGTCCTGCGATGCCTAGCCCAGTCAGCCGCCCAGCATCTGCAGGACCGTCTTCCAGTCGCACCCCTGCCGCGCCCGCTCCCCGCAGCGCTGATTTATTCCCCGCTCTCCCAGCAGCACCCAAACCCAATGTTCTCATGGCTGGCAAGACTCGCGGCACGGTTCGTTGGAATGATAACCGCGGCCCTGTCCCGAACGCATGGGGCTCAGCCCCAAGTTCCGGAACCGCCTCTCCGGCTGAACCCAACAATGACGACTCAAGTAATGGCAAAAAAGGGAAGAAGAACAAGGGGAAGCAAACCCTGTTCCACTTTGGTTAATTCACTGCTACATTTCGATTGATTTATGCTGCTTATACTGATTGGGACTTGCTTTGGCCTATGTTTGGAAATACCGCATGACGGGGAGCGCTATCAAAACGCATACCATCCATGGATCTGTTGAATTATTCTCTTTTTGCTTTTCTTGTTGTACCTACTAGCGAATGCAGATATCATGTGTTGTATAGAGGTAATCCATGTTATTCTACTTCATATGTCTGATATCATATATTGGAGAATGATGTGGCCTTCACACATTGTCACCATAGAAGTACATAGTATGATCTATAGGGGAGGGGATAATAAAAAGGCTAGTTCACCTAACCATCCTCATTGACTTCAAGTCATTCCGACCAACACCACACTATCGTCGTCGGTGACATGCTCGGACTCAGAATCCAGATCAGATTCGATCACAATGGGCTCGGGCAAATGTGTGTTGTCCTTTTCCTCACGATCCTCACTCGAACCCAACGCTTGGGTTTCAGGTGTATGAACTGACAAGTTGGAAACAGGTTCAGTATGGGCCTCTGTTTCACTTTCATCACCGGGGTATAACTCCATTTCTCTGTTGATAGCTGTCATGCGCAGCACGAACTCATCCTGAAGTTTAATCAATAGAGCCCGAAGACCAGCGTTATCCATCGTGCCGTCGCGGGCAATAAATAACTGCTCACGTAGAGACAAAAGCAGCTTTCTCTTCTGCGCAATGGCAACAGCACGCGACGAGCTGTTCCTCCGCCTAGCCAGACGGTCCATTGCCTCTGAGACAGAGCGCGCTTTATTCAAGACGGCAGGTGGGAGGTCAGCTAGCTTGGCGAGGACAAGCCCATACCGACGATCTGGAACAGGACCCTCTGTAATGCGGTACTGCATGGTCATCTTAGAAGCGTCGGGGGCAATGTCGGCTGCTAAGTGGAGATTGATGACACCGCTGCGCTCGGCGAGAATCTGCGCTAGGTCGTGGAAGTGCGTGACAAACCAGACTAGGGCTTTACTTGAGATTAGGGCTTCTGCTAGCGCGACAGCGATAGCGAGGCCGTCGGTTGTGCTAGTACCGCGACCTAGCTCGTCGATTATGACCATGCTGCGTGGCTGGATGTTACGAAGAATGAATGCCATCTCCCGCATCTCTGCTGCAAAGGTTGAGACGTTGGCATCTAGATCATCCGACGTGGCGACGCGGGCGAAGAGCTGGTGGGAGATTGGGAAAGAAGCGTATTGGGCTGGGACGAAGCAGCCTATCTGTGCCATAACTGTAACTAGGGCTAGTGAGCGGATGTAGGTTGACTTGCCGCTCATGTTGCAGCCTGTGATGATCTGGAATCTCGTTTGTGGTGTTGCATATGCGTCATTTGGGATGAACTTGCTGTTATGAATCTGTTCTCGGATGGGATGACGTCCCGCCTTGATGGCGAGAGTGTCGGTCAGCTCTGGCCTGATGTACTCATAGTTTGTTGCTAGCTGAGCGAATGCCCCGAGCATGTCTAACATCGCAATTGCTTCACTAACTCGGAAAAGCCCGGATACTTCGGTGCACACGTCTCGCAGCAGGTCCTGGATTGTCTGGTCGCTCATATTGATAACCTCGCTGTGCGCATCAGTAATCTTTTGATTGAGTTTGACCAAATCCAATGTCTGGCACTCGATGCGGTTTCGCTTGCGGTATACGTTGATAAAAACATCTGGTAGTGGACATGGCTCTGTTGCAGGGATACAGATGTAGTATTGCCGGGCTGTGTCATACTTCAAGTCCAAAACCATATCGCAAGTCTCTGGGACATGTCAAAATTATTCATCAAACGTCATGATTTCAGACATGCCTGATAGCCTTTCAATCAGCTCTATGGCGTCTGCATTGGCCTCCTTATAGGTCTGCCTCGCAACATCGAGGAGACTGTTGACACCGGTCTAATTCGCGTTAGCGAGCTGTATTGCTGTATCCAGTGTAGAGGTATACGGGAGTTGACCTTGACACAGTAAATGCGCTGGTTCCTCAGATCAAGTGGCTTTGACTGATAGGTTACGTGCTCATTCAAGGTTGCGTCGATCAGCTCTTCAATTGAACGATGCCCCTCAGGCGCACACAACTAAAGTGCATTAGCTTTAGTAAAACACCAAGGAATGTAGATTCTACTTCGCGTATGGTAAGCAGCAAATCGCTTTGTGCTGCTCCAAGCGCTTGGAAGACTTTTTTGATCGCAGACACATAGGTCTTAAGCATGATAACATTGTTGACAGACTGTTCGACGTATTGGATTGTTCGCTTCGTGGGAACCAAGATGATCTTGATAATCCGTTAGCACAAGTCTCCAATACTGGCTAGCGTCAGAGACTCTACCGCCGTTAACACTTTATCTGCATCAATGAAGCCCTTGAGCGCCTGCCTCACAGACACAAACATATCCTCTTTGGTGGTCAGATCTTCCACGGCATTGTATCTGGCTGTCAATTTGACTCGCTCTGTTGAAGGCTGTAAGATGCTAGCTCGGAGTAGTCTGGCCCCCATAGGCGTCAATGTCTCGTTCAATAACCCAAACAAACTTTCTTTAGACTTCGCATTTTGCAGGTTCTGGATAAGTTCGAGGGAAACAATAGTCGCCAAGTCAATTGTCATGGACCCCTGGGACGGCTCGAAACGTATTCGAAGAGAATGCATGGTAAAAGATCGCTGAAGTTCAACCTCAACATACTTGAGAACCTAAACCCTATATGAGTATTTCCTTTTGGCAACATAAATTCTGTTCATACTGCTGAAAAGCAACACGCTGCGAAATAGTTCCCGCCCAGAGTCACCTTGAGCGAGTCGACTTCCTCTGGAAAAGCTAGCCGTTCTAAATATTCATGACCTGTCTTTTCAGACCACCATCTGCGGTCCAGAAAAGTGAAGATAGGATCTGGCAGATTCTCTTGAATGATATAATGGAGCTTCGACTCTTTGGCAGTGTTCATGAACAGAATCTCGCTGGGTTCAAAAACACCAATCTTGATGATTGTCTTAACGTAAGTCTGGCTGTCGCATATCTGACAGAGTACTGCTTCAGCTGTCGCAAGATTGACAAATGCGAGGCCAACGGTGGATGAGACGCCCCGCGACTCACTAACAGCGCAGATGATGTCCTGTGTTGCGACACTGGTGGCTGTTGTGGTTGGCCTTGCCGTTGGACGTCTACTTGCACTCCTGGAGGCTGAAGGTGAAAATGAATCCAGAGAATTCAATGAATTCAATGAATAAACCGACATTGTGAAGCCCAACTGTTATGGCCGAGATGGTGTAGATGGATAAATCGATAGGGCGATAAGATAAGCCGTCGAGATATTTTTGCTGCCAAAATTTCTCTTCTTCCCCCCATCGACCTCAAAATCAATAACAATGGCGACCCTCTATCCTCCCCCCAGCAAGCGCCAAAAGCTCGTCCAGGCTGATAAAGCCCGTGAGCAGCAGGAAATCGAGAGTATTCCGTCCGATTTGGGTAGTGTCCGAGTCCAATTCTTCGATCAAGCAACCGGCCAGCCCACCGGGCCTGCGGTTTCGGTCCCAGTCGCCGATGCCAATGTGAAGAACCTAGAGACTCTGCTAAACACATTACAAGGAAATGTAAGATTGAAACCTTGTGATTACTTGACAATTGAATATCGTATTGACGGCGATTTCTTTCCAGGAGGATGATGGACGAGTACCATACCGATTCGCTTACCATTCCGAAAAAGAGGAACAAACGATCGACATTCTCCGCGATGTGTACCACTCTTTACTTCAGCCCGGCATCAAGACCACAGAAGATACCATATCGCTCTTCTACACACCGCAGGCGGTTTTCCGAGTGAGAGCCGTTTCACGATGCGCGGCCTCCATCGCGGGTCACGGCGAAGCAATTTTAGCAACATCTTTCTCCCCAGTCTCATCCTCTACCATGGTCTCTGGAAGTGGAGACGCAACTGCTCGTGTTTGGGACTGCGACACTGGAACCCCGAAACATACGCTCAAGGGCCACACCAGCTGGGTGCTGGCAGTCGCATACTCGCCGAACGGCGCCATGATCGCGACCGGCAGCATGGACAACACCGTGAGGTTCTGGGATGCAAAGCAGGGCACAGCGCTAGGCACAGGGCTCAAGGGCCACGCAAAGTGGATTACGAATCTGGCTTGGGAGCCATACCACGTGCAGGAGTCCGGGCGCCCGCGTCTGGCATCTGCCTCCAAGGATTCGACCGTGCGCGTGTGGGACGTCGTCTCAAGAGTAACTGACCATGTGCTCACAGGCCACAAGTCTTCGGTTACTTGTGTGCGATGGGGTGGTACTGGCAAGATCTACACTGCTTCCCACGACAAGACAATTAAGATCTGGAACCCGAAAGACGGCACCCTGCTTCAGACCCTAGCGGCGCATGCCCACCGTGTCAATCACCTTGCGCTGTCTACAGACTTTGCTCTTCGCACCGCCTACCACGACCACACTGGCAAGGTCCCTGTGACCGAGGCTGAGAAGGTCGCCGCCGCGCGCAAGAAGTTCGAGGAGGCGGCAACGGTGAATAACACTATCGTCGAGCGATTGGTATCTGCTAGTGACGATTTCACAATGTATTTGTGGGAGCCGTCTACTTCTAGCAAGCCTGTCGCACGGATGCTGGGCCATCAAAAGGAGGTGAACCATGTCACATTCTCGCCGGACATGGCCTATATCGCTTCTGCCGGATTTGATAACCACGTCAAACTGTGGAACGGCCGTGATGGAAAGTAAGTATTTCCAATATCTGATTGTTGCGATTTACAGCTAACACCGCCCCAGGTTCATCACCACATTCCGAGGCCACGTGGGCGCAGTCTACCAGTGCTGTTTCTCAGCAGACTCGCGCATGCTGGTGTCCTCGTCTAAGGATACTACTCTAAAGATCTGGGACTTGCGCACCGGCAAGCTCAAGATGGACCTTCCAGGACACAAGGACGAGGTGTTCGCCGTCGACTGGAGTCCCGATGGACAGAAGATCGCCAGTGGAGGCAAAGACAAGGCGATTAAGATCTGGCGGAACTAGATCTAGTCGCACTTGACATCAACTTGTCCAAAACATGCTCTTGTTCTTGACAGACAGCTAGCCTGGTATAGGTCTTTGCCGTCCGATGTTGCATTCATCTAAGACGAGCAGATTGTCCAACCTGCTGTTGGCAGTAGCACCTTGCGTGTACCCTATTTAGGGATTTATGGGTGTTTCAACCCCCAAAGTCATCCCTTCGTGGGCCTGATTCACATTACAAGTCTATAGACTTATCTACTTAGTGGCAGAGACCCGCAAGGCTGCCTTACTGCATGCCACATTCAGTGGCTTGGATAGACGATCGGATCATAGGAACCCCGAGAGGAGTTTTCGCTTCGGACTAGGTCTTGCAATATAGATGCATGGAAGTTAGATGGTGATTTAAGTGTGGATTGACGAACCCTGTCCTGCCTACTGCCTGGGGCATAGGCTACAACAGGACGCCCTTTATGTTACTTATTGCATTTTTCATGAATATCATCTTTTGCGTATTGACAGAATTGATTCACTGCAGCCCTAAAAAACCCCTAAAGCCCTCTTCTCTTCTTCTCCCCAACCCTCTCGACCACTATTTCTTACCACACGAGATAGCGTATACGGAGGGTCCCACCTAGTGCCTACGTCACTACACAGAGATATCAAGAAGAATCTGAGGTCTGTTGTGCACCCTGATCAAACTTCACTTCCAGAGCTAGCCCGTTGATGAAGTCATGGCCGATAATTTGGGCTCCACGGCCATAAGCGGTGCCAGGAACCCATTATACTACTTTTGCTATGATATCTTGTACTATCTCTAGTATCATAAAGTAAGACAAGTGCTACCCCCCTTCCCCAACCCCTGCAGCCATTGATGCCATATACATCGGATTTTAGGTCGATAGAGATGGTGTAGGATCGTGTAGCCACCAAAGGACACCAGACTTAGTGTATAGCCGGAGGGGTCCTCAGAGCCGAGAGTCCTTCACCTCATCGAAATGGATTATTGCCGGTGTGTGTTTAAGTAGAAGAGTATAAGAAAAGCAATCCTGCTTTACACACAGAGAGTATCCCGCTGAAGTGAGCGCGGCGATAACCAGATTCATAAAACCATCGAGAATCATAAAATCGATAGACTAGAGCAGCTAGCTTATAATAACTTCACACCCTCTGAAATAAAGTGACCTGAATTCTAGAATTGAACTGGATGCGGATGTCCCTATCTAGTTGAGAAATCCACTAAATACAATGTCATAAGTCGTGATTCGATACTGGTTCATCTAAATATATAAAGCACTACCCCAACCCCAGCTTTTAATCCGACCTCTGCGCAAATCGCAACTCATTTCTACCGAAATCGTAAACGGACACCACATTCTTCAAAAATGGCACACCCAGAATGTTTAACATGATACCCTCAAACGCCACACGCTCCGACGCCACCAAACTTGAGACACAGTACCCATCGCCGGTCTGATAAATGAGATCCTGTCCATCGTGATAGAATGTCTGGTCTCCAATTTGTACTCCAAACATCGGCGGCTGTGCATTACAGTTGACGACAGCAACTCCTAGCGTCTCATTGTAGATAGCTGGCGGATCGAACAAGGCATTGATGGGGTCCGCAACCGCAGCAGGCAGATAGCTGTAGTCGTTCCCGGTATCTGTAAATACCTGGAACTCCATGCTGTTGGTAGTTATGGAGGTTGTGCTCGTGGTGAGATCCACTTTTGTTGTGGAACCAAATGTCACCGCAGACACGGTAAAAGCCCAATATGATCGAGTGCGCTTGCCAGAGGTGAAACCGGGCGGAATGTTTTCCAAAATTTCTACGGGAACACTGGCAAATTTCGGATCATATGCCACCGGCGGTAGACCGCCCAAAGTGAGGTACCCGCCGAAGGTTGGCGTGGAAAGGTTTCGCGGCGTGTGTGCGAGCGCAATGCTGAAGTAGGGATCTGAAACAAGGCCCTGTTCGTACATGGTGTTGAACAAGGGATTGTAGCATTCACGATTGAACCAAAATGTTGTATTGTCGGTATGGTCTCCTGGATGTGCGGAGGTGAGGGAGGGATAGGCGAGGCCTAGCACGCCGCTGTTTATGCCGTCGCCCATGGGATTGCTGTGGTCGACGATGCCGACGGCTTGTCCTGGGACAGTAATACCGGCTAATGTGATGTCTTCGTAGGCCATGACTCCGCTCGCTATGCCATTGCCGTATTGTATGCCAAATGTTTTATTGGGGATCAAACGATAGGTGTCTGATTCGTTGTACCCCGGGGAGATGTGCTGGCAGTCCGCTTGAGGGATCTCAAGGTTGGTTGTTTGATCGATACAAATGAAGTCATTTCTGACGACGTAGGTGTCGCTGCTGCCTGTGTCGACGAGAAGCTTGAATGTCTGATTGGCGAACGTCACGTCGACGTTGAGTGTTGTGCCATATTGTGCTGAAAGCAGCGAGGCTGTATTGCTGGTTGTGTGGGAGGTGGTTTGAAATGTTAGGGGAAAAGTGAATTGACTCGCTGTGACGAGAGGAGGAAGCTTCATTTCGGAATTACTCGGTGGCGCGGTAAGATTGTTTAATCAAAGTAACCTTACAAGTCGAACTAACCACGCTTTTAGATAAATGAAGAGCTTCAGGCTACCTCATTCTGACTTTCATTGACTTGGAAAGGTTCTAAGCAGCAGCAGGCAGATCAGTATCGATTGGCGCTAAGGCCGCTCGTCTATTTTTGTTGTATTCGTTAAGCCCCTGTCCTTTTATGCTGCCTGATGTGCAAGGTCGCTCTGGAATGGCTAGTTATAATCCACCATAGGCTCCGACATAATGCATGCACAATCGATTCCTCGCGTTTATTGAGAGTGGACACCCACAACTCCGTATCGAAGAGACCCTGCGGACAAACATTCCATTCACAATCTCTACTACTTATAACACTGAGAGCTACGAATAATACACAACAGCACCTTTTCATCTATAGGCACATTTCTAATTGATCGATTCTACATTTCAATTGGGTTCAAAGTGTAGTTGACAATCTGTCTTCTTCTTTACTAGCAGCAGAGCTTCCGTGAAGTTACAACATTTCGATGATTTGACTTCTGAGGAAAAAAAATGAGCATCACTTGTCTCACGATACTTGGATCGACCGTTTGATATAGTCTTTGGTTTTTCAATAAACCCCGGAGGGATGTGGGAAGGCATCAACCGATCTTATCACACACGCCATATT